TGCAGTAAAACTTTTAAATAGCCTTTATTCAACTTACTATGTCTGTCGAGCTTTTCTTAATAATTAATTGAAACTTGAGACAAAACTTAAATGCACTTTTTTCGGAATCATTTTGTTTCAAACTTGGATCGTGAGACTTAATTCGATGTTTGATTAAATTGAAAAAGAAAACTTTATTTAAAATTGTTATATTTTAAGGCAGGAATAAGATTATATAAACATTTATTTTTATACAACATTGCAATAGGGTATTAAGGTACTGAAAATATAGAAATTTCTAAGAAAATCCATTGTCTTAAGAGAGAACGCAGGCGAAAGGGTTATTAAAATAGGCATTAAAAAATGTCAGATAAAATTTAATAATTTCTTAAGGTTTTTGAGAAATCGGAAACAGATTAAAATATCACTTCCGGTTAACATAAATCTTAAACATCTGGTACTTGTATATGAACCAGAGGCGTATCCAGGTTTTCGTTGTAGGGGGAGCGAAAAGAGCAAAAAAAGGCGCCAAATTATTAACACGTTCTATATACGTGTATTATATATATATATATATATATATATATATATATATATATATATATATATATATATATATATATATATATATATATATATATAAATAATTACTAACTGTATGTCATTACTTGGCTATGATGTAAAATAAATAAGTAGCACTCTGAAGAAATAAGAAAAAACACACAATGTAGGCCGACAAAACAAAAATTGTATCAATCTAATATATATATATATATATATATATATATATATATATATATATACATATATATATATATATATATATATATATATATATATACACACACACTACAACCAAAAACAATGAACGTAACAAATCTGTTTTGTAATTCTTGTAAAAAAAATTCTTACATTATAATTCCTGGGAAATTATTTAAGACAAGTGAAATAGGGGAAATAATCACTCTCTTAATATAAATATGTATATATCTACACATTTAATTATAAATGTCAAAACAAATAAATAATTACTTTAGATAATAATGAAATAGTTTAACACTATTCGTGTTTACAAAATGTTTTTGTCTATAATCAGAATTTAATATATCGTCATCATAAATGCTAAAGTATTACAGCGTAATGAAAGTTTTAACATCAGAGTTGGTATAAAACCACGCTTTTCGATATAATAGATCTACTTTCGGAATAACAGCCTACGATTAACTAAATATTGGTCTTTTAGTTCAGATCATATATTTTAATTTACTACGCCTTATTTGTGTTATTATAGATCATTTTTAAAATAGTGATAGGTATGGGTTAGATCACTGTATTGATCACACAACTTTTTACTGGTAATTGCAAAAACAATATTCACAGAGTTTTACGTTTAAAAAGCTAATTTTCTGGCGGCATGGTACTTTGGTACACCATTACCCGTTTTTCTACATGTACTTAACAGATCAGTTCGGGTGGGTGGAGGGGGGGGGGGTGGGTTCAACTTCATTCACCACTGTCCGTACACTTTAGGTCAATTATCCAACCCGGTGTATACCTAGGTGTGACATTAATGTAGCTCTACACAATTGTGTTGGTGAGGTGGGGGGGGGGGGGGGATAACCAACTCAGAGTGAACATAGCGTCAGTTTTTAGATGACTGTTCTAAACATACATATATATTACACATATATATATATATATTACACAAATATATATTACAAAAATAGATTTAAATAAGTAGCAGTGGTATTATGACAATATTTTTTTTTACAGAGGGGTCCATGGGGGAGGTGGGTTGTAGCTGTTTCATATAATTTGTAATCGTAATCACTATCGCCCAAACTGTAAGAATACTACTACTTCATCGTGATGACGTCAAAATTTCCCCACCACTACGCAGTTTGCTCATAAGTAAATTTAAATAGAAGTGCCACATCAGTTGTATTTGTTTCTGTATTGTAATGTTTTTAAAATTAATCACACGATTCAAACTGTATATAAAGTGTGAAGTTTTATGTATAACATTTTCTAATTCAATTATACATTATACAGTTGCCTTAAACTTAACACCCCTCTTGCCAAGTGGTACTACCGTAGAGGTTTTTTAAACATTGCAATGCATCTTAATGGTTATTTTTAGAATAGCAAACTGATGCAGCTTTTAATACGTGTTGTAAACGTAGACACTACTAAACTAGTACAATAATGCTTAATTGCTGCATGAAAAGAAAGCTTGTGATTTACATAGATGTGTCGACCAAATTTTTTTTTAACAAATATCATTGTTTAAAACTTTGAGTTTAAAAAGTTTCCAAAAAGGCGCCACTTTGCTGAAAATGGCCAGAGGGGGAGCGGCCGCTCCCCCTGCTCCCCCCCTGCGTACGCTACTGATATGAACCTTTGTCCACTGAACTGAAATAGTAGTCAAACCGGAAATACAATAAAGTACCACGATATGATATTGTATGTTACTCAAGATATAGAAGTAATCTAACTATACAATATTTTATTTATATGTATTCGAAATTTTGCCTACCACAATATTAAAGAAATACAACTTCAAGGTAAAGGAAACCTTTATATAGTTGAAAGAACCTGCGTATCCAAATGTATACATATATTATGTATGATAGCAATATTTCTTCTACACAACACTTAGGAAGAAAACAAAAGCTGGATTGATCTACCCTAAACGATAAAAAGTTTTCATTTCAGTTCTGGTCTAATAGTCTAATCGTACTATAGAAATTTAAAAGTTTATTACAAAACCGCATGTTCTCAGAAAAATTACTTATATGAAAAGTATTTATCGGTACCCATTACACGTTAATTATAGGCCTATATTTTTAAAATGTTATACTTGTTTGAGGCATATATTTTATAATATTGTTATTGGTCAGAACGCAATATGCTTTACTACACGTGAACGATATAAGACAATTTACGGACGGAGTAGCCTAGCGGTAGAGAGCTAAACTGCTAACCCGAAAGCCTCGAATTCGAATCCTGAACAGCTAACATATCTTATAAACACGACGATTTCTTCTAAGCCTAATGCTGTATACACTATCCCATATGCTGAGGTCACAGAAACAAGTGAAATCTACACCAACTCACCGTGACCCACCAGGTCTGAAAGGAAACTTTACACATCTAATAAACCGGGAGCGATCTCCCCTATATTTTCTCGAATATCTATATATATAATTCTCTTCTTGGAGACGTTAGAAAACAAGCTGCAAGCGCGCCTTGCAGTCCCCTTTCTTCCTCTCTATCACTACCCCCCCCCCCCCCACCCCCCACCCCCACATGGTCTGGTTATTGTTTTACAGCAAATATTTTCAATGGCAGCATTGGTACTGTCGAATTTACAAAATACGAATTATTGAAAAGTAGAAAATAAAACAACTAAATAGCGGCGTATATTACGCCGCGGGTCGGCTCGTTCTTATATAAAACAACAGGGGATGGGAACTCGGGATAGAGTTATGATTTTTAATCCATTTTTAATACTTAAACTTTTAAAAATAGAATAGAATCTCATGTAAAAAAAATGAATTGCGCATCAAGCGAACGCCAAAACAAAATGTGCATAATAGTGCGCAATATTATTAGTACACTTTAAATTTACATGCGTTTTTTGAGAAGTCGGAAATAGTGTAAATTAGTACTTCCGGTAAACGGAAATTACTAAAAATTTGATAGAAGGCAGAAAATTAGATTTTTAACTTACATGTGAAATTTCATTTATCTATCTGAAATAGTACTCAAGTAATATGCTTTTGGAAAATTCAAAGTAGAAAAAGTTCCATTTCCGGTTATCGGAAGTTGATATAGATCTACGATTTTGATATAATACTTATATATGACATTTCATTAACCTAGTTCTAACGGTACTCAAGTTATCGTGTTTACACACACACACAGACATACGGACAAGATTGCAAAACTATTTTTTTCCGACTCAGGGAAGTGTAAAACGTCGAGATTTTCAAAACTCTCGATTTTTTTTGCACGATTACCAGACTTTCTCTATACTACGTATATACTAGAAAGTAAATAAACCGGGAGTGATCTCCCCTAAACTTTCTCGAATATTCTTATATAACTCGGAATATAGACATGGTTTATTTTTTAATTACTTAAACTTTTAAAAATAGAATAGAAACTCGTAGAAAAAAGAATTGCGCACCAAGCGAACGCCAAAACAAAATGTGAATAATAGTGCGCAATATTATTAGTACTCTTTAAATTTACATGCGTTTTTTGAGAAGTCGGAAATAGCGTAAATTAGTACTTCCGGTCAAACGGAAATTACTCAAAATTTGACAGAAGGTAGAGAATTAGATCTTTAACTGACATGTGAAATTTCATTTATCTATCTGAAATAGTACCCAAGTTATAGGCTTTTAAAAAATTCAAAGTAGAAAAAGTACCACTTCTGGTTATTGGAAATCGCTCAAAAGTTGATACGGATCTACGATTTTGATAAAATACTTATATATGAAATTTCATCAACCTAGATGTAACGGTACTCAAGTTATCGTGTTTACACACAGACAGACAGACACACACACACACACACACACAGACATACGGACAAGATTGCAAAATTATGTTTTTCCGTATCAGTGAAGTGTAAAACGTCGAGATTTGTAAAAATCTCGATTTTTTTTTTTGCACGATTCCAAGACTTTCTCTATACTTCGTATATACGAGAAAGTAAAAATGGCACTTAAAGCATTTTAATTCATATGTTTTGTTCAAAGTTAAAAGCTTGTTATTTTTTTTTTAAGTCTATTAATTTATAATATTGTTATTATTTCAGTATAGTAAAGTTTAAGTCTAGAATAATTCACTTCACGTACGATGTTGATGTCGTAATTGTGAAATACCACTCATATTTTGTGTTTATTGTTTACTTTTTCTTTCCAGTGTCGCCTTTCTTGATCTGGACGGCTATGTCGACTCGTGTCCAGATGTTGTGACCCTCTACGACGGTGACAGCAGTCGAGCTACCCCCATACAGCAGTTATGTAGGTACAAAACTGAAGCAGAGCTGAGAAGTTTACAGATTCGCTCCACGGGAAACAAAATGTTCGTGACGTTTACATCTGATGCCATGAATCAACGTCCAGGATTTCTGATTAATTTTAACACACATGGTAAAAATATTTTAAATATTTTATACACATTGCTTGTTTTATTTTCTAAATTGATTTTTAAATTGATTGGTCATTTGTTATGGTTTGCTATTTAACTCCACAACAGTCTGTCCCCAAATGATGTATGGCTTGACGAAATGTAACAACAGCTGCATTTGTAACGCAACCAACACAGCCTACTGCAATAATTTAAATGGGAAATGCTCCTGTAAATCTGGATGGAAGGCTGATAACTGTAATGAGGACATCAACGAATGCGCTGACCCACTGGTCGAAAGATGTCCCATTGACTACCAAACATGTGTCAACAACCCAGGTGGTTATTCTTGCGACTGCAAGCCGGGTCTTGTCAAAAACTCAAGTGGCGTTTGTGTTGGTAAGAAACTTTTGTTTGATGTTTTTGCTTAACTCAAACTACCTCACATTAATTTAAACTTCTAAGATTAGTACATGTAATGCATTGAAAAAAATGCCTTCTTTTTAAAACTAAACCGAAAATACAACTTTAGTATGTTAGTAGTTAGGGCTTAGAGATTTTGTTAGGCAACTCACGGCGATGAAACGATTCAAGCATGTGCACCTTAAATCTAACAATCCTATTGAGATTATAGATAAATTTAAGCCAAGTGTATTTCGCTTCGGGCACATTAAATTAATATTTTTTGTTCTTATACAATAACAATTGATTGTTTCATCCAATGAGTATTTAAGTTTTTTTTAAAATGTAAAGTGTATACTAATTGCACATTTTTATTTACCTTGATTCCTCGTCCGTTATTTTTTCTTCGTACTTGATTCGTAATAGTTCGCCTATGTTTTAATCGTGATATGTAAATCAAGACACAAAGACAATGTTGGGCGACATCAATTGCAATATAATAATCGTTTAATTAATTAAAAAAAAATTAATAGCCATATAAAGTACGAAACTTTTCGCGCTATTTCACACAAGTTCGTGGTTATGCGCAGATGTTTGGCTCAAGCAATTGATACTCTTTCGAACTAAAATTAATAAAGAGGGAGTGATCTCCCCTACAGTTTCTCGAGTATTTTTATATAAAACTTATAAGTGAAATTTTGTTTTTCTATCTAAAACAGTACTTTTCCTCATCTTCTTCGTACTTAATTTTGGTGTTGGAGGGGATCCCCCTCCAACACAAATAAGGATACTTGTCAACTGGTTATGCGCCATTGAGGCCATTGACTCCGATTTCAGCCTGCTCTTCTTTTTGGATTTGCTTCCATAGCCTTTGTCCAACCAAGAACAAACTACAAGGCAGCAGTTGTTTGATTTTGGAGTTTTCTCTCCTAGAAGAGTGGCTGTCCCCATCTAACGAGGGTTCGAACTCAAGACTTTTCGATTTAGCAGCTTTGAGCTTTATAGGCTTTTGAAAAACCAAAAGTAGAATAAGTTCCACTTCTTGTTATCGGAAATTGCTAAAAGTTGACACAGAATTACAAATTTGATATACATATATTTGAAATTTCATCAACTTAGCTGCAATGGTACTTAAGTTATCGTGTTCACAGACATGTACACACATACAAAAACATACACACACAGACATAAGGAAAAAATTGCAAACTATATTTTCCGACTCAGCGAGGTGTAATACGTCGAGATTTATTTATTTTTTGCACGATTACATCGTAGCAACGGTATTTAATATATATTATATTGACCTACTTTTTCTATTGTGTTACTTAAAATATGGCTTATTATTATGCATTTAAAGAAAATTATTTAACTTTCTTCTTGTTAGTACTATCTCTTCGTTTAGTAATTAAAGAGCTTCTGTCATTTTCTGTTAACATCTGCCAAGTGGCTTTTATTCCGATTTGACCAATGTCACTTTATATTGACGATCCATTCCAGGACAGATTATGTTTTTTTTTTTATGTGTCGGCGTTTTCGTAACATGTTTCGTATAACAAATCCGTGTAATCAGACAAGAACCACACACACTCACACACACCTATATATATATATATATATATATATATATATATATATATATATATATATATATATATATATATATATATATATATATATATATATAAATATATATATATATATATATATATATATATATATATATATATATATATATGTACATATATATATATATATATATATATGTACATATATGTACATATATGTACATATATATATATATGTACATATATATATATATATATATATATATATATATATATATATATATATATATATATATATATATATATATATATATATATATATATATATATATATATATATATATATATATATATATATATATATATTGTTTCAACAGCTAAGCCAAGTTCTGGCTGTACGAGGCAATGTTCCCACTTGTGTGGGGTTACAGATAACCTGACTCAAATTTGTTACTGCCCAAACTACATGATGCTTAGTGGGCTGACTTGTATTGGTAAGAACAAAAAAATATATACATTAGTTTTTATTTATAGTAATTAGTTAGTCAAATATAATACTATGATGGTATTTGAAAGTTTTCAATACGAAGTTAAAGAAGGAGTGATCACCCTTAAACTTTCTTGAATATTCTTATGTAACAGAATTGGGGGATGGCGACTCCGAATATAGTCATGCTTTTTAATCAATTTTTAAATGCTCAAAGTTTTTAAAATAGAAAGAAGCTCGTAGAAAACAATTGAATGCCGAGTGAACAGCAACCAATGCCTGTATAATAATGCGAATAATTAGTACTTTATAAATAAATTCGTGTGTTGTTTTTTTTTTTTTGAGAAATCGGAAAAAGCGAAAAGTAATATTTACGGTCACGTGAAATTAATTGAAGAAAGAAGTGTTTGTGATTTCCATGAAATAGTAAGTTGGGTTTCAAATAATTGTATAGTTTTGGATTGTATTTTATTACTTAGACTTGTTGGCTTTTAGAAGGTTTTAGATTGATTAAAAGTTGTATTAGTTTCAGATGGTCTTCGTATTTATATTTAACCCTAGACATTAGATTTCGAGGCTACGAAGAGATTTTGTTTTTAGTAATCTTTTTTAGTTTCGTATAGTTCATCAGTATAGAACCATCCCAAAAGAATCCGGGTGTTGTGTAATATTTACCAGTGGTAGAGTTACGTAGCTTACCTATATCATGAAATTTCATCAACCTAGCTTTAACAGTACTCAAGTTATCGTGTTCAATGGCACATACACACACACAGAGATATGGACAAAATTGCAATACTAAGATTACCAACTCAGGGAGGTACAGAACGTCGAGATATGTGAAAATCGCGATTTAATTTTTTTCTCACGATGCTTCCTCTATTCTATGTATACGAGAAAGTAAAGAAAATATGATTTCAACAAATCTAATTTATAAAGTTCAATTCTGTATGTTTGTTAGTGGAGAACCGCAAATTCCAAAGTAATATAAGAATATAACAGACTTCTTCGTCATAGTATTAACATCTAAATTAATGATTTAAAAATTAATATTGAAGGTGTTGTAAAACGATTTTCATTTTTCTAACTAAAAGTGATAATTGTTGGCATATCCATGAAACACATTTGTATAAAATTATCACCAATCATACTAATTCTTATTGTGTCTAAAAATTATTTATATTTAATCTTTGAGCGATTATTTTTTCCCTTGATAAATTAGGAAAACAAAAGCTACCTCCATTTAAGAAAACATTACTTTTTATCACTTTGCTTTGGTGTTGGAAAAGAAAATTACATAATTAGTGGGGATTAATTCAGTGCAATGTTATAGGTATTTTAAATACTGCTGTTTATTTATTTTATACACTGACCTCACTATTTAGTAATTATTTTTTAATCAATAAACAGTTAAGAAGCCTGCTCCTAAATGTCCTTCTTTCCGTTTGCGGATAAGCTTGGGGTAATATAATTGTTCACGGTTTGATTTGGCACCTGGGCTATCCTATGAGCGCTATGGTGCATAATTTCGCTTTAAGCAGTGCGATAGACTATGGATAAGAAATGTTAAAATAGTCTTTAAGTTAATCAAATCCGGGCGTCCTCCGGCACTCCGACAGGGTGTTGTTTGGCGCCCGGGGCGTTTCCGTATTAGCTATGGCGCCTGCCATCATTAAAGTGAGTGCACAAGACTACGAATAAGTTGGGGTACTATAGTCCTTTACTAAGCTAAAACAGGCGGTTCCGCCGGCGCTCAAACATGGTGCGATTTTTGGCCCCAGGCTAGACTGTGAGCACTTTGCGTTTAGTTTATGTTCGCGTTTGTGTTTTCTTTGTGTTTGGGTTGGGTTTGCATTTGTGGTTGGGTTTGTGTTTGCATTTTTGTTTGTGTTTTTATTTGTAATTGTGCTTGCGTTTGTGTTATGTTTGCATTTTTTGTGTTTTGCCTTTGGTTGGTTGTGGTTAGGGTGGGCAAAGCCGGGTATATGCTGATTACTAAACACACATGTCATGGCCCTTTACAGATAGGTTTTTCAAGAGGCCAGTGCAGGGCCTCACCGGTACGACTAGTTTTAATAATAAAGACGAAGGGCGACACAAACTATGTTGAGAGATATGACTGCACAAAATTAGACTATAATTCAGTTGGTTATGTATTTATACATAATCTGTTATAACAAAAAACCTGTTGTTGTTGTTGCTTTGCATGTATAACACGCATAATATGTTAAGCGCGCTTGAACTATAGATTTTTTTTTCAAAAAGTTATATTTACATAGTACGTAAAAGACATGGACATGCTTGTTGTAATTTAAGACCTAGAGTAAATGTGAGGCGTTGAAGATCGTCACTTTGTAATTTACAATTGGCGGTTTAAAAATTAAGTTGTCAAGTAAGCCTACCCTTCTAAAAATGTTGTGATATCATTATTCATATGTACAATATAAATGTAAGTTTTTTTTTCATTAACATATATTACAATATATATGTAACACTTTTAGAATTATATATTATTCAACATCGGCAGTCTTCAGATATAGGTGATCAATTTAAAGACTACGAGTTAAAAACTAAAGTACTACTGAAAAGGACCTATTTAAAAAAATAATTAACCATTAATATTATTAAGAGCCTAGGCCTACCGGTATTTAATTTGATTATATTATTATAAAACATATAGCTAATATGCATTTTTTGGGAATTACGTTTAAAACAATCAGATTAGTTTGAAAATTTAATTTCTTCCTGACTAACGAGTTTTCGAATTTTAAGCGAGAAAGACCGAGACTTAAAAGCCCTATTTCAAACTCTCATTTGCTTTTTCGTTGAAAATAATTTTCTTTTAAATTTGCAGCATGTCCAAGAATGACATACGGCAGTAACTGTTCAAGAACGTGCAACTGTGACGCTACTCACACGACAGAGTGTGACAGAGTGACTGGACAATGCATCTGTGCGACAGGATGGTCAGGAGCTACCTGTGGACAAGACGTGAACGAATGCCAGTTGAGTCAATACTTGAGTACCTGCAACTCAGCCTACAACCAGGTCTGTGTCAACACTCTAGGAAGTTACAGATGTGAATGTCGCGACGGGTTCGTCAACAAAACAGTTGGTGGTCCTTGTGAAAGAAAAGGTGCGAAACAAATTTTATTCATTTTCTGTTATCTTATTTTAAAATGTCGATGCCATTAAAAATGCATCTTCATTTTTTATACTTGCTCGTATTAGAACAATTGTAAAGACATTTTTGACAATTAAATACAGTATGCTCACTGACTGTAATATACATAGTTAAAAACGGAAATTTTTAAATAAGCTTTGTATTAGTTATGAGATTATTATAAAGTGACATACAATGTCGCTATTTAACGCTAATTTAAGAAATAAAAAACTATATATATATATATATATATATATATATATATATATATATATATATATATATATATATATAAGCAGTTGCGTAATATTTTATATTAGTTTGTCCATTTGTGACTACTACGTTGGTTACAAAACAACATGTTTTTATCAATGTCACTTCATGTTGACAACTCATATTCTATTTTAGTCGCACCAGCTACATTACAACTTGTTTTTATCACAATTACAAAAAAACCTCGGTTAACTTTTGGGTCAGTTGTAGGTTAGATAAGAATATGCTTGAATAGTGTAGAATGTAGGGAAGATGCGTGTGTGAGTTGAGTTAACCTCGGTGTTTTTGTATTGTTATCCCAAAGTAGAGTGCGGTATAAAAGCCGAAGTGAACAATTGTAAGGGTCTTGTTAGTTATGGTTAGGGTGGAGGGCTTGTAGTGTAAAAGTAGAGATGAGAAGTTAAATAAAGGATTGAATCGTGCATGGTTTTGGAGTTGATTATGTCTGAAAATTATTTACATATAGCACTCATTACGTCCCTTGACAAATTAGGAAAACACAATTACTTCCATTTTTAAAAAAACATTACATAGTGGGGGAAAATTTACTTTTTATTACTTTGTTTTGGTGTTGGGGAAAAAAACATAATTAGCGAGGATTGACCAAGTGCAATGTGGTAGCTTTTTTAAGTACTGCCTTTTATTTATTTTATACACTTGACGTACTGTTTACTAATTATCTTTTAAAATCAATTACAGTTAAAAAGCCAGCTCCTAAATGTCTTCTATGTTTACTACTTTCCGTTTGCTGATAAGCTCGGGGTTTTATAATTGTTCACTAAATTATATATATATATATATATATATATATATATATATATATATATATATATATATATATATATATAGGCTGTGATTACAATATAACTGCCACATCAAGTTCCATACAATCACCAAATTACCCAAACGCCTACTGGGCAAATGCTGCTTGTTCTTGGATTATTCAGACAGACACGGCCTCAACTATATCTGTCAGGTAAGTTTCCATTTTTTTTTTTTCAATCAGTTCTGAATGCAAAAATACAAACGCGAATAAACTCTGTACAGCGTTTTTGAGATAAAGTAACATATTATAAATTGTCTACATTCAAGAATTATTGATTTAAATTGTGACAACGAGGACAACATAAAACAAATACTTCCCGGTTGTAACAGATAATTCATTTATCTAACCTAGCTTCTCGCAATTTCAAACGGAATCTGGACGCGACAATGTTTACTTTTATGATGGCCAGAACAGCGGTGCTAGACTACTTGCGTTGTTTAGTGGTTTTAAAACATTTACTGAACCAATACGATCGACCGGACGCAGCATGTATATCAGATTTACGTCGGATTCATGGGCTCAGTACAATGGGTTTAATGGAAACTACACCAAAAGCTGTGAGTACAAATTTAATCTACATGACATTTTAATTTTATTTAAACTGGCAAACAATTGGTACTGCTGGAAAGATAAAAAGGTTGTTAAGGAGTTGACATGAAATTTTATAGTTAAATTTCGATGTAGTACATGAAAATTGATTAAATTGAACCAGTGGCGGAACTAGAAAAAAAGGGCCACCCCGCAAAAAATTGTTTGGTCCCCCATTTATATATATATATATATATATATATATATATATATATATATATATATATATATATATATATATATACATATATATATACATATAAATTAAAGTCGGCTGTGGTCCCCTAAACGGCCTCCCCCCCCCGCATTGCGGGGTCTGGCGGCACTATAGTTCGGCCCCTGAATTGCACGAATTCTCACATTTTCAGCATATCCTCAAGGCTGTAGTAACACTGTTGTAGCACAAGAACAGACTCAGACAACCTTTGGTACGAGCTTTACTAGTGGAAATCCATCAACGGTTAAACGGATCTTCTGCTATTGGTCTATCAGTGCACCACCCAACACAATTTTATCTTTGAAGTAAATATTTGGATTGTTTATGCATTATTAACAGCTTAGCTATTTTAAAGTCGGGAATTTAAAGAATTATCCCTTTGCCGTTCGTTCACAAATACACAAAGACACATACAAACATGGACACACATACACACACATACGCCATGAAAGCTTGCTTATCTTATTTAGCAAATAAAAACAAAGTGTAAATCTGCATATTATTACGCCATATTCCTGTGTTTGTAATCAGTGGCGTAGGCAGGGGTGATAGAGGGGGGGGGGGTCCAACCATGAACCTATAAAATGATTTTTGTTTTATGTTAAGTAACATCTATTGAATTGTGTCTCTATTATTAAAAGCTTGAACTCTAAACACTTAGGCCAGATCGCAGCCTCTAGATTTCTAGAACAACAATATATACCATTGTAATGAGAATAGCCTGAAGATATACGTAACGATTTAAAAAAACAATGATAGTGCTAAATTAATTTATAATAATCCGGAACGCAGTAAACCAAGGGAAAGCTGACAAATGTTAGATCAGTGAAGGTTTGTCGAAGGGGAGGGGTGAGCTGAACCCCACCCCCCAAAAGTCGATCCTGCTACGCAACTCTTTAAATTGACATTAAAGTTCAATAGATAATTAATTTTAATAATCATAACGAGATGCTTAAAATATATGTTCAAAGTAAGCTAAAACATTACATTTCTTGTGAATTTTAGATGAATTTGCTTTAATGTTCTCAATTTGTAAACAGTTTTGTGTCAGTATCAACTGATCCATCCAGCAAATCATTTGTAGCAGTTTATCAAGGAACGTATGCCAGCAACACAGCATTTAAAAAATACTACGGCACGCAAACACCAGGAGTGATACGCATTCAGGGACCTAATGCGTACATAGTGTATCAATCGGAAGAAGACACACCAAGAACAGGTTTTCTAGCCAAAGTTAACTGTAAGCAAAAAATTTTGAAAATCAAATATATTATATATATATATGTATATATATGTATATATATATATATATATATATATATATATATATATATATATATATATATATATATATACACGGTTATGAATGATGAGGCGAAGACACAATCTCAAGGTCAAACATTTTCAGCTCCTAGGTAGATTTGTTTTTTTAAATAGCGAGGCAAAACAAATTATTTGATTACAATCTGACAGTTATTTTTTATTACATTGTTACACGTAAAGTCAGGTTTTCAACCCATTTTCAATGGATATTGTATTTAAATTCGCCAACTATGGGACATCCATGCATTGAAGTGAAATAAATTAGAGCAAAGGGCGTTGCTCATCTAGTAATAAAATAATAAAGACACACTCCTTTGTTATAAATTGACTGTCATGCTAATAATGTTTTTTTTTTAAGGGGGCAGTATCACCCAGACTAAGGGAGTAAAACAAAAATATTCACACAAAAAAACTATTCGACATACATATGTCAAAATTGTACAGCAGTAGTAACGTTTCTTCTGCTATAATACAGTATATAAATTGTTGGGTATATGTATAGCAACATATTTTCAAAAAATTATTTTGTTAATATTTTATTACATTTTGAATTTTTTTGTAAACAATTTTCCGAAACCATAAGTAAAGTACTTAAAATTTGGTATAAACCTTCCTTGCGTTAATGGCTATCGTCGGAACTAAAATCACAGCAATCTAATGAGGGATAAATTTTTGTCACGGCATGTAGGCTTAATTAAATTACGCCCCTTCTATAACACCTTAATTTTAGAACAAAGCTTTCAGAGGGCAAAACAAATCACACATCTCATAGATAACAACAACCAAGAGACGACTGACCCTGAAAAAATTCAATCAATATTTAGAGACTATTATACGCAACTGTATAAGTTCGAAGAGACAAACACAGACATACAAGACAAATACCTTAAGTTTATTAAACCATTACATGACAGCGACAAAATTAATATTGACACCCCCTTTCAGCCAGTCGACATAACCAAAGCCATACTGAAATTAAATTCAAATAAATCGCCAGGGCCGGACGGCCTGACAAGCGAATTTTTTAAAGCCTTTTCAACCGACCTAACTCCCCTCCTTTTAGTAGCTACCTTTAGAGAAATGTTTCTGCTAGAACAATGCCAGGAAAATTTCAACAGATCATACATAACATTAATACGCAAACCCAAAACCGATCCTAAACAAACCCAAAACTATAGACCTATTTCTCTCCTAAACACTGATTACAAAATCCTATCCAAAGCTCTAGTCTCCAAAATTGAACCGCACTTGCATAAAATTATAAATGTAGACCAACAATGCAACATCACAGGTAGGAACATACAAAATCACAATCACTTAATTAGAGACATCATCCACTACACACACGAGAAAAACACACAAGCATGCATACTCAGTTTAGACCAAGAAAAAGCCTTCGACCGGGTAGCTCACAAATACCTTCACAAAACTTAGAAGCAAACAATTTAGGACAATACTTTACGACATGGATAAAAATAATCTATTTTAATGCACATAGTCACTTACTGATAAACCATAATATTTCCCAACCCTTTAGAATAAAAAAATCAGTCAGACAAGGCTGTCCCCTATCTCCAATCCTTTATATACTAACACTCGAACCCCTTTTAGAATGCATTAGAAACGCTAGAGACATTAGAGGAATCGACATCCCAAATCAATTAAACAAAAAAATTCTAGCGTACGCTGATGATACAGCTTTTACGCTCCAAACCGAAAAATCTATCATACTAATAACAGACATGTTCCTTGACTTTGGGCTGGGTAGCGGGTCAAAAATTAACCTAATGAAAACCAAAATTATGGGACTTGGACGGTGGATCAACAAACCCAATTACCCACTAAACATGCTAGGTACCAACAAACTAAAACTTTACGGCATAACCCACTATAGTAACCCACACACCAACAACGATGATGAATGGAAACAAGTCTTAAGCAAAATCCAAAACACCATAGCACTTTATAAATTTAGCTCAACAACAATTTTTGCTAGGTCATCTATTATTAATAGGTATGTCATCCCAAAAATCACCTATATAGCCACGGCTAAAACAATCCCAAAGCCAACAATTAAACATCTGAATAAAATCATTAGAGAGTACATATTTCAGACCACAATTTCAAACATTAGCCACAACACTTTAGTACAAAACAAACTTCATGGAGGAATAAACCTGCACGATATACAGACCAAAATCAATACATTCAGACTAACACACATTAGCAGAATAATTAGCCAACCAAACTTTCACCCTCTAGCTCACTACTATATAGGCATTCAGCTAAACAAACTTACAAAAATCAATAATACAACTCCACATTACATAGGAGGAAAACTCAGTCCCTTTTACACAGAATGTTTACAAATATTAAAAACAAACGAAAAACTTGTTCACAAAATGTCACAAAACATTTACAAAAAGTTAGTGCAAAAGCTCTCAACTCCACTATACAACAGAATTCAATGGTGTAGGAGATACGCTCTAACAGACACAATGGACACCTTCAGAAACCTACACCTCAAAACCATCACACCCAAAGCCAGGGAAATAACTTACAGACTCATCTACAATTCAACACCCCTAGCAAAACAACAGAAACCATTTTGCCCACTATGCAGACAAAACACACCCGAAACCGAAACGCACATCTATTTAGAATGCCCCACCATACAAAACATGAAAAAGACGCTAGAAAACAAAATAACAAAAAACGAGACCTACAATATCGATATAGTCATAACTCTAAACAAAATCCCAATACAAAGAGATAGGACGGACCTAGAGCAAAAAGCAAGGACGGTAGCTATATATAGACAGACTATTTGGAACAGCAGAATAAAAGCAAAACACGACAAGGTACAGTTCACGGGACACGTACTAGACTTGATTTACCGTAGACGACTCGACAATGACAGCACTCAAACACATATACCATAATTAACAACACCAAAACGTAAAGAACATATTACACTGCTTTTGCCACCTGGAACGCCTAATCGAACTGACACATTCCCCTTTCATCACACCCTCTCCGCCCCCCCCCCCCCCGCCCCTAAACCTCATGATCCCAATATCAAATTTCCCCTCAAAACTGCATCCCCTCGTCCCCATCACCACCACCCCTGTGATGAAGTGCTATGTTAAACAGTGACAATGATGTATTATCCAAATACATTTCTAACAACATCAATGTAACTCCCACCCCTCAACCCCCATGTCCCCACTCTGTGTCGCATCATGTATCATTTGGCATTTCATTTTCCTATTGTTGCTTTTTGTGTATTGTTTAATTTATAAAGCTTACAAACATTGTAAAGCTATCATTTGTTACTATATTACTATTATCATGTATGTAAGGTACTTTGGTCCACAACGTACAAATGACCCCAATGACCCGTACTCCTTTTGTATTCATTGTATTATCACCAAATTAACACTTACAGTTGTTTCGTTAACTTTACTAACTCTTTTATGTGAACACCAATTTTTATGATCTATAAAACTCCACTGTATCCCTACACGTGATAGCTACACGCCTACCCACCCCTAACCTGTCGGTACTTAACATTCATCTAAACATAAACACCGACTTGAACATACCAGCCTTTCACCCTCCCACTAATTCGCTCACACAGCAATCTGTTCGTCAAACCCTCCCCCCCCCACCCACACACACTACAAATGGTAACACATCAGCAGTCAGATAACACAGCACAAAATTTGACGCTTGGCTTGCCTTAAAACACGCAGTCACCCTCTCCACGCCTCGTCAGACACAGCTACCCACTCCCCCCTCTCCCCCTCTATCCACTTACCCTCAGACATGAAAACACCACTTTCCCTTTAACTGTTCCAACGACCCCACCACCCACCACAACATCAATTTCGAATATCTATTCATTTACTTTTTAAAGTTCTAAATCTTGTTTCTTTCCCCTCATTTTTTACACAGCAACCTTTTGAAAACTCAATGCGACCAGTACATAAATAAACACTCTTTTAACTAGTCAACTTAATTTGTTTCCCTACATTGAAAATGCTCCACTGGCCCTTTGTCATTCTCGGAAAAATATCCTTTCCACTCCCCACCCAGACTTCTGACACGTTTATTTGACCTTCACCCCTTTTACTGCCATCTTTCGTAATTTTTGTTATAATCATATACATGACATCACGCAAATATTCATTATGTACATGTTCAAAACCTTTCGTTTTCATTTGAAACTATGTAAAAAATGTGATGTTGATGTACTTGTTTTAATTGCAAATAAAAGTATTAAATTTAAAAAAAAAAAAAAAAAAAAAAAAAGGATAAATTTTTTAGAAAATTTCTAAGTTCAATTTTTTTTGTCTGACTTTGAAAAATTCTAAAAATTTCAAAATATGCCACAATGGATATCTTCTAGTTCAAGCGATAGGCTATGCAGTTGTGAATCTCCCAGTGTATTTTCAGCAGGAAGGGCCTAAATGTTGGAAAACCAAAGCCACAAATTACTTAGTAAAACATTTTTGGTTAAATTATTTATAAAAAATGTTTGCATCATACGTTAACTTTCTTTTATATGCTGTTTTATAGCTCCTTATTAATAACTATTATGGTAAAAAAGTTATGTGTGTATGTGTAATAGTTTTTTTTTGGCAAATTTTTTCGTCAATTTTCAAATGTCTGGGTGATACTGCCCCCTTAATGTGTGCCAGATGTTGAAATGTGTCTATTTTCGAATTTTTTTTCAATTTTTTTCCAACTTGGATTATTTCATTTTCTGCTTTGTTAATTATATACATTGGCTTGTTCAAAGCAGTCACGTTTCAAACCTCGATATAAGTAAACATCTAGAGCCAACACAATCGCGTGAAAAACTTTCTGCCGATAACTAACAATATAGTTACAATGCGCTACACTAGAGCAAGACAAGCCCATATATTTTAGCAGCATTTTACCAGCATTGTGTTAGTGTTTATGATGCAATAAACCAAGTATAAAATCCTCCAATATTAATTTAATAAATGCTTTTTAAATGCATTTAAATAAGAACATAAATGAATAGTCATTTGTTAAAATAGTTTTAAAAAATCATTGATGGAAAATATATTGTTTTATCTTTACTATTCTATGTTCTATTCTATATTCCAGTTTTTATACTTACTGTGATGTTAAAATATGATTTTTTACAGACTGCCGATCATTTTACTACGGCTCTGACCTTTGTAATGTTCCATGCGCCTGTGTGCAGGCTAATTCCTACTCATGTGACAGTCTTTCTGGTGCATGCTCGTGTAGACCAGGTTGGACGTCCGCAACGTGTGCAGTTGATATAGATGAATGCTTAGGAAAACCTTGTTCCTTAACTCAAAAATGCATTAACACACCCGGAAGTTACCGTTGTGAGCATGGTAATATAAAAGCTTTCTATTTACATGTTGTAGTGTAATGTACGTTAAAAAAGCACAGTTTTCATATTTTTAGTATACTATTTGTTTTAATTCGCTCATTATATAATCCCTTTTAGAACTAGGGATCTATTAGGCAGATGAAGTAGAATATACATGTTTCTTGACCTCGGCATATGAAGGGATGATGTGGTTAGCACTTTTCCCAGCCGCCTTTACTTTCCCTAACAAAAGTTAGGTACCCATCATAGCAGCGTGGACTCAAAGATGGTCTACTGACTTTGACCCGGATTTGAACTCGAGACTTTGGGAGTAGCAGCTTATATATATATATATATATATATATATATATATATATATATATATATATATATATATATATATATATATATATATATATATATATATATACTGCTGTACCCGTCATCGCGCGTTACCGCGTGTATAGAAGAAAGTCTGATCAAATATATATATGAAGGTATCATAAAAATGCGTTACAAATCCTATATTTTTAGACACGTTACCTTGTTTTCTAAAACTGAGTTATTTAAATGTAATCAATGCCTGCGCTTGGATCATAAAAATGGGGACACGGGTTTTACTACACTATCGCATGAAAACCTTGTGTGTACGTTAATCACTCACCGAAATAATAATATAGAAAACACTGATGACCGCCCGTATGTCAGGGATGTAGAGGGGCGCTATCGGGAGAAGCCGATTACACTATCGCAGTTGCGCCGGGTACAGACCCTGGCTCCATAACACTAACATAGGCGCCATAATGCTTATAGGATAACCAGGAGCGCCAAATAAGATCCTGTTAACAATTATGCAGATTGCGTCATTCGCTAAAGTGACACAAATCAACAGGATTTTTTCTTTAACATTTAAACAAATTTTTTGACGTGTTTTAAACATCCGAGTGATTCAGTGGCGTCTCTAGGTCGGGTGTCACCCCCGCGCCCAAAAAAAACAATATATATATATATATATATATATATATATATATATATATATATATATATATATATATATATATATATATATATATATATATATATATATATATATATATATATATATATATATATATATATATATATATATATATATATATATATATATATATATATATATATATATATATATATATTCATACATAATATATTCATACATATATTTAAAAAATATATATGTGTGTGTATGAGTGTATATGTGTATACGTGTATAAGCTTTAATCACTTCCAACTTAATAGAAACGTTGTATATCTATAGTCTGTTAATAATACAGTTGGATTTAGCATTGTTTTCTCTCTAGTTGGCAAAATTACGTCATGTTGTCCCCCCAACCCTCTCGTAAAAATTGTCGATTTGTAATTATCAGACTATTTACTTTATATAATCATTAATGGAACAGGCAAAAAGCATTGTTCTTCTGTACATTTTACATTTTTTGCATTGGTGTCACCCCCATCCCCCTAAATGGTGTCAACGGTGCGGTTTGCACACCCCGCCCCGCCCCCGCTTCGCCTTGCTGTAACTGATGCAATTGGTTAGCGTTACTTATTGTGTGTTATTAAATGCTCGATCTCAATTTCTGTTTGGATCGTCTGAAAATAGATGCTAATTGAATCATTTGCAAAGTGACGAAACAGTACAGAAAGTTATTTTTAGAAGTGTAACTTTTATTTTTAGATTTATGCTGCGCCACGAAACTTAATTTTTTACGGAAATATTTTCATTATTTCGAGAACTGTATGTTTTGGAATTGCTGGAATTTTTTTAATGACAAAGGGAAGCAACTCAAAAAAATTATTACATGGATCACAGCGGCCCATGCGAGTCTTTGGGGGCGGAAACTGAAATATGTGGTCGCAGCTAAATCGCACCCTACCAATGCATCGGCGGACACGCCTGATTCAAATTAGTGAGCGACTGTAAAGTCCCATCTTATCCATTTTTTATCGCACTGTTTAGAACGAACGCTGGCTCCATTGCGCTCAGGGCAAAACCCAGGGCGCCAAATAGAACCCTAAAGAGGCGCTGGGAGACACGCCAGGTTCGATATTGTCAACGATTATTGTTGCCCATCGTGTCTTTAGTGCATACCCTTTTAAAAAAAAAACGAACAGGCGCTATAGTGCTCGAAGGGGAGCCCGTGGTGCTTCGGGTCGTGTAATGTATGAGGCACCGGCGGTTGCGCTTGTTGAAGTTTTAACGCTGAATATAATAGTACCCCTTACCAGCTATGCAGGGCGCACGATTAAGGGATGCCACGTACTAACATAGCCGCTCTGGAACTCTGGGGGCCAAATTGTGGATTGACGAAAACCGTACCCTCCCGGGCGCCGCCCATATCAAATTTTAATTATTTTGTGAACAGAAACCTACTGGGGAGCATTCTCATCAACTCCTAAAAGTTTTATAGCACTCGGATAAAAGGTGTTGAACCGCACCCGACTTTCGTTTTTTAATATACCGTATATAGAGAAAAATCGCACTCTCTGGGAGCACTATCCTTTCGAAAAAAATGCTTTTACAGAAACCTCCCGGGACTGTTTTAATCAACTCCCCAATGTTTTATGGCGATCGGATGAACGGTGTCAGACCGCAATCGTCTTTTATTTTTATATACTGTATAAATAAAGAAAAAACAAATCGCACCCTACTGGGTTTTCACCCCTGCGAATTTAAAAATTTATTTTTCGCCAAAACCTCACTTTACTTCCCAAAGTTTCATGGCACTCGCAGTGGCGTAGCTAGGATTTTCGGGCCCCTATGCAAAAATTATCAGTGGGCCCCCTTCGTCAGCTGTTTTGTTACAATGGAATTAAACGAAAAAATCAACTGCTACTTAAGAATGAGGATTTTTAAATAATATCAATATTCTTTAGGCCAACATTTATATCTTATAAGTACTTATTGTGTATTTATACTATATTATTATGCGGTTTTGTAAAAATGTTAGTCTTACAGTTAATTTGTTTGTTTTTTAAAGTAAACAAACAGAGTAGCGTCTTAATACGGTGTCAGAGGTGCGGTCGGCATAGGTTGTCAACATTTAGTTGTGACATCATGACAAAACATTGTACAATTTACTGACAAATGAAGTTGTATCCAGTTGAAATAAAAAAGATTAGTGATAGAGGGGTGACACTCCCCCCCCCCCCCCCGAAAATGCTAAATTGTTGGGTACGATCAGGTGACGCCTTTAGTTAACACGTAGGGTAACACCCGACATTGTGACATACTAACCAAATACAATTTGTTTTTTAAATTGCTAATGATTTATTTAGATCTGTGTTTTTTCCTGCTTTTAATTTTGTAAAATGATAAATAAGTTCATTGAGATCTACTTTAGCTGCGTCTGTATGTTCGATTCTTAGGACGGCCAAGCTACTTGCCCAATGGGCTTATCTTCAAATAATGAGATTTAAGAATTCCTTAGACATCAAAACCTCATTCCCGATCACCGTAGAATATTAAAGAATGTTTATACTAACTAGCGTACCTGTTCACGATGCTGCGATCTAGTCCTACATAACATGGTAACAAAACAATTTGTAAGGGTTTCATCAACACATTATCAATTGTGTATTTTTAGTCGTTTGACCTTGTTTTCTAAAACTGAGATAGGTCTAGTTAAAATGTAAACAACACTGGGGTTTTTTTTCGGATCTTTGTTGCGGGGCGCGGGTTGGTCCACCCTATCGCTCAAACGACATTTGACGTGCTGTATGAAAGCATTGAGTGTACGTTAATCATCTTCCTAAATAGTGAGGTTTAATACTTTTCGGCGACCACCTTGGTCTCAAGGTCTTTGGAGGAGTGACTGGTTACACCACCGTAGGTAACCAGATACAACCCCTGGTTCTGTTTAGTCGTCAAATGTAAAGGCCCACCCTGTCTCTATTATAGAATACTCGTGTGATTGGTGTCGAAAGCCGTCCCTGTTGCAATTTTACCGCTGCGTCAAGACTCTGCACGATGCCCAATCAACGGATCTCTTGCACTCAGTTATCCACTGGGTAACTCGAGCGCCCAATTGTTACTACTGCTGATGCCCTGGAGGACACCCTTATTCGACTTTAGGATCCCGACGTATCCCTAGTGTATGGCGCTCATTAAAACGAATATAGGCGCCGTAGTGCTCTTGGGGGACCCCGGGGTGCACAAGGTTACACGACCGCCGAGATGCCGGCTGCAGTTTGACAACTGAATCAAGTAGTAACGCTGACCCGCTGTGCCAGACACCCAATCAACGGACCCCAGGTGCAAAGAAAGTGGCTGGGAAACTCTGGGTGGCAAACTGCGCCGCATTACTGCCGGGGCGCCGCCCTCAGAAATAAAATAAAAGAGTTTCTCTCAGGCACCTTTTCAGGAAAAATGTCTGGAAAAAAACGTTTCCTTTGGCATATTCTCAACGACTTCTCAAATTTTCTTGGCGATTGGATGAAAATCAAAAACTTATAGTGTTAGTAGCGCCATATTGATTAAAGATTAATTAGATTAAAAAAATGAAGTCCTTAAGGTAAAGAAAAACATTGAAAAATGTTGGACTCAGCTGGTTGTGAGAACACTGACCATGGTTGTTTTTTTCAATGTCTCAGTTATTATGGATATTTAGTAAGATGGAATTTCGTGGAGGGCAGACAGTTTGGAGAGGTGCAGGTCTGTGGGATGGGGTAGGGAATTTCCCAGTCAGTTGAGGTTTATAGCGATGCATGTAGATTTACTGGTGCTGGATGCCAATCTTACAAAATAGTCAAAGTTCAAGTTTATTTATATACTAAATCTCTCAATGGCTTGGACGACCATGCGGCAACGCCTGTAGTAATATTATTTTAGATGGGCCCATTTGGACCCCCCCCCCCACACACACACTGAATCCAACTACTTGTAAAGTAAGAAAGGTCTGGGGCCTTTTTTGGAACTATTAATTACTTCTACAATAGAAAAGAAACTGAAAATTCCTTTTAATTTAAAACATTTTATATTAAACAAATATTAAAATTTCAATGTAAGAGTTTTACTTTTTTAAAGAGGGAAAAGGGGCCCCCAAATGTCGTGGGCCCCTAAACCTTGCTTACGCTAGCTTTACGGTAGCTACGCCACTGGGCACTCGCTTGAACGGTGTCGAACCGCATCCTACTTTTGTTTTTATATACAGTATATAGAGAAAAATTACACCCTCCCGGGGCGCCGCCCTTGCGAAATTAATTTTTTTCAGAACCCTTTCCTGTAGCATTCTTATTAACTACCCAAACTTTCATGGCGATCGGATAAACGGTGTCAGACCGCAATTGACTTTTATTTTTTATACCTTATATAGAGAAAAAAAAAATCGCGCCCTGTCGGGGCGCCACCCCTGCGAATTGGAAATATTTCTTTCGCTGAAACCTCGCTATAAATATTCTCAACAGCTTCCCAAAGTTTCAAGGAGACCTGATAAAAGGTGTAGTAATGCATAAAAGACAGACAGACAGACAGACAGACAGACAGACAGACAGACAGACAGACAGACAGACAGACAGACAGACAGACAGACAGACAGACAGACAGACAGACAGACAGACAGACAGACAGACAGACAGACAGACAGACAGACAGACAGACAGACAGACAGACAGACAGACAGACAGACAGACAGACAGACAGACAGACAGACAGACAGACAGACAGACAGACAGACAGACAGACAGACAGACAGACAGACAGACAGACAGACAGACAGACAGACAGACAGACAGACAGACAGACAGACAGACAGACAGACAGACAGACAGACAGACAGACAGACAGACAGACAGACAGACAGACAGACAGACAGACAGACAGACAGACAGACAGACAGACAGACAGACAGACAGACAGACAGACAGACAGACAGACAGACAGACAGACAGACAGACAGACAGACAGACAGACAGACAGACAGACAGACAGACAGACAGACAGACAGACAGACAGACAGACAGACAGACAGACAGACAGACAGACAGACAGACAGACAGACAGACAGACAGACAGACAGACAGACAGACAGACAGACAGACAGACAGACAGACAGACAGACAGACAGACAGACAGACAGACAGACAGACAGACAGACAGACAGACAGACAGACAGACAGACAGACAGACAGACAGACAGACAGACAGACAGACAGACAGACAGACAGACAGACAGACAGACAGACAGACAGACAGACAGACAGACAGACAGACAGACAGACAGACAGACAGACAGACATTGAATAATATATGTATTGTATTATTATTATTATTATGTTGTTTAAATTACAGACTGCAATACAGATTTAAATGGATCTTTTGGAACTATCACTACAGTTCAATATCCTAGTTACTCCTTGTATAATGCTGTGTGCAACTGGGTAATTAATGGCAGAGCTAATGAAGTTGTTACTTTAAGGTATGTACAAAATAAAACAACGACACGTCAGAACTTGTTGTATATGTAAAATTGTTTTAAAAACGTTTTGAAATAATCCTATTAGAATCGTTGTTTTAAAACAAAGCCACAAGCTAGCTTGGATTTGAAGTAATTTTCTTAAATACTAATGAACAGTTGCGAAAAAATAATTTAGCAGTTTCTTCTTAATATTTAATAAAGTAACATCTGTATAAGGATAGTTAACACTATCCAATATATCAATTTAATTACTTGTCGTGTTTTCTACATCTACACACAACTTACATTTCTCTCTTTTAAAATTTGAATGATTAATAAAATATAATCATTACAATCGTGTTTTTTGCACAATCCTAAAAGTGCTACTATGCGTTTCTATAATTCTGTTTTGATTGATGAGAATTGAAGAACTGTTTCATAACATCTTTTACTAACACATGTTGGAACAGATCTTATGTGCATAACCTTTAAATCTGGACAATGTTTTATCTTCTCTAAAAATTCAACGAGATAGACACTTTTCCATCACTGATGAGCTGCACATCATACATGGGGATCAATATATGACATATGTTTCAGCTGCTTTATTAACCATCATGATACTGAAACGGAAAACGCTACTTCAATTATTTCTCTTAAACGTGCCAATTTTGACATAAATAAAATTATGATACTACTATTACATGTACTTAAAATTATTTTTTATTTAGCTTCGGCAATGGAAATTTTCAACTCATTGAAAGCGCTTATTGCGGTACCGATTCTTTCAATATTTATAACCTTGAGGCTACGACTGGCAATCAAATTGGTAAATACTGCGGCACGAGAATTCCTAGCATCATCAGATCAACAACAAATAAGATGATTTTACAGCTCAGGACTTATTATTATGGATCACGCAAAGGATTTAGTGGGATGTATTTCACACATGGTAGGTTGAATAATATTAGTTATGCCATATTATAAAATCAATTATATCTGGTATTTAATGTAATTTTGATTTTCTACATCTCTCTCTATCTCTCTCTCTCTCACACACACACACACACACACTATTTGTCAATCTTTCTTTCTCTCTCTCTCTCTGCATATATATATATATATATATATATATATATATATATATATATATATATATATATATATATATATATATATATATATTTATTTATTTATTTATTTATTTATTTATTTATATATTATAAAGCTGGTGGTAGTGTGTCAGTCAGTCCTTCCGTCACCGATAAAGATTTTAGAACCATAAAAAAAAAACATCGCACCATGTAGTTATTTTACATGCAGTGCTTTTAATAGATTAGGGTTTGTTTATATAACGACTTAAATTTGTTTTTTAGTTGCCACAGTTTTTACACGAATAACGTGAAGAAAATATTAAATACACGCACACTGCTAAAACATATTCAGCGAATCATTGTGAAATATAATTTCCGTTTGATTTGAGTTAGCGTTTTTTTTTTTTTGCATTTGTGTTTGAGTTGTGTTTGCGTTTTCTTTTTTGTTTGTGTTTGCGTGTTGCATTTGTGTTTTAGTTTGTTTTAGTTTGTGTTTGTTTTCATCGTTCTGTGTTTTTTTGCATTTGCATTGTTTAGGTGTTTGCGTTTTTTGTGTGTTGTGTTAGTGTTTTCGTTTTTTTTTTTTTTGTGTTTGTGTCTGTGTTTGCGTGTTGCGTTTCTGGTTGTGTTGCGTTTGTGTTTGTGTTTTTATTTTCGCTTGTGATGTTTTGCATCTGCATTGTGTTTGTGTTTGCTTTTGTTTTGTTTTGTGTTTTATTTTCTTTTGTGTTTGCGTTGCGTTTGATTTTGCATTTGAGTTTGTGTTAAGTTTTGTTAAGTTCATAAGTTGGTACATTTAAAAAAGATTCACCGTGGCGGAGCACGGATATTTAGCTAGTATATATATATATATATATATATATATATATATATATATATATATATATATATATATATATATATATATATATATATATATATCCTTGTGTGTGTGTGTCTGTCCTTTATGCATTACTACACCTCTTATCACATCGCCATGAAACTTTGGGAAGTTGTTGACAATATTCCTGGGGAGGTTCCTGCGAAAAAAAAAATTCGAATTCGTAGGGGTGGCGCCCCGACAGGGCGCGATTTGTTTTTTTCTATATACGGTACACAAAAATAAAAGTCAATTTTGGTTTGGCATCGTTCATGAGACTTTGAGGAGTTCATCATACCACTCTAGGGAAGGGTTCTGTAAAAAAATAATTTTTAATTTCGGCGCCACGGGAGGGTGCTATTTTTCTCTATATACGGTATATTTTTTTAAAAAGTCGATTTTGGTGTGACACCGTTATCCGATAGCCATGAGACTTTGGGGGAGTTGATTAGAACAATGCAGGGAAGGGTTCTGTAAAAAAAAATCCTTTTTTAATTTCGCATGGGCGGCGCCACAGGAGGCTTCAATTTTTCTCTATATACGGTTTATAAAAATAAAAGTCTATTTCGGTTTCACATCGTTCATCCGTGTACCATGAAACTTTGGGGAGATGATTAGATCACTCAATGGTAGGGTTTTGCAAAAAAATATTGTTTAATATTGCAAGGGCGGCGCCCCCAGGGGGGGGGGAGCGATTTTTTTTCTCTATACACGGTATATAAAAAATAAAACTCTGACGCTGTTCATCCGAGTGCCATGAAACTCTAGAAAGCAGATGAGAATACTCCCGAGAATATTTCTGCGAAAAAGAAAACTAAAGTTTCTTATGGGCGGCGCCATATAGGGTACAACTTTCGTCAATACACGGTTTGGCGCCCAGAGATTTAGAGCGACTATGTTGTCACTTGGCATCCATTAATCGAGCGTCCTGCATAGCGAGTAAGGGGTACTACAATATTCAGCGTAAAACTACAACAGTCTTCTAAAAATAACTTTGTAACGCGAGGAAATCCTGTACAGTTCCGTCACCTTGCGAAAGATGAAAAAATAACTTTTTGAATATGAGAAGCCTACTTTAGAGTTTCGTCACTTTGCGAATGATGCAATATGCATCTACTATTAGACAATCCAGTCAGAAATTTAGATCGAGCATCTAATAATAGACCATTAGTAACGCTAGCATATCGCATCAGTCACATTGATGTTTAAAACATGTCAAATACTTTTTTACGTGTTAAAGAAAAAAAGCATGTTCATTTGTGGCACTTTAGCGAATGATGAAATCTGCATCATTATTAACAGGATGCTATTTGGTACGATGGCGCCTATTACTTTTAAGGAGTCAGGGGTCGTACGCCGCGCCTTTGCGGTAGTGTAATAGGGGGGTGGGGGCCCTGAGAGCGCCCCTGTATGTCTCTGACACATGGGCGGTCACCGAAGTGTGTTCTAACATATTATTTCGATGAGTGATTAATGTACACTCAATGTTTTCATGCGGTAGTGTAGGTAAACCTGTGTCCCAATATTTATGATTTAAGCGCAGGCATTGTTTACATCAGGGGTCTCCAAACTACGGCCCGCGAGGTTCTCTCATCCGGCCCGCGGAGATCTTTTGTTACAGGTGGCAGAGAAACTTTGCCCAGAAAATGTAAAACAATTTGAATATGTAGCTTTGGGTGCAAATACCATTGCCCTCTGTGTTGCAGACATTGATGAAAACATTGTAACTCAAATAGTGTAAACTGCTAACAAGTTTCGCCACTTTTCTATTGCAATGGATGAGTCATTGGACAGCTGTTCCATGTTTCTGGAACAAGTACAGGGCAACAACTTGACGCACTTTCAGCAGCGCAAGGTCCTTATGGCAGAAGCAACAGCTGTGTTCCCCTCATCATTTGCATGCGAGATCATTAAAGACCTCCAGCTGCAGTTTCAGTAGCGGTTTTCTGAATATGATTCAAAGGCATTTGAAGGAAACGTAGTCAGTTGCCCAGATGAACTGCAGACGAAGGTTATTGAATTGCAAGCACATTACCTCCTAGAGACAAGTTAAAAAAATGGCGGATGGGTTTTTGTGTTTGCCCATTGAGAACAAACTTGGACATCGAGTGTGTTGTCGGCCCACGACAGTGTTTCTTTCAGACGTTTTCTTGGGGGGGGGGGTGGAATTTTAAATGTGTATATATTTCAATTTAAATTTATAATTCGTTGGGGGGACGGCGGACGGACGCCGCCACCTCAAAGAGATTCATGGAAGAAACTCTGGCCCCCGAACTGATATTTAATAGTTAATGCGGCCCTCGGGCTAAAAAGTTTGGAGACCCCTGGTTTACATTTAAATAACTCACTTTTAGAAAAGACGGTCACGCGTCTAAGAACATATGATTGGTAACGCGTTGGTGAAATCTTTCTAATACATTTCGTCAAACTTTCTTCTATCCCCGCGGCAAAGGGCGGGGGACGGACGGGTACGCTAGTATATATATATATATATATATATATATATATATATATATATATATATATATATATATATATATATATATATATATATATATATATATATATATATATATATAATGCTAGAATGACGATATTACCTCCCATTGACGGGCTAGCGAACAATTTCCTAAATTTCGGACACTGGCCGGTCATTTCACTGTCACATACACACTCTCAAACACACTCTTACACATAACACACACATTCTGATTCACACACTATCACTCTCACACACACATACTCTTATAAACTAATACACACACTCACATTCCTTCATACACTCTGAACCACACATTCGTAAACACGCAATCACACATATACAGTTACACACAACACTCACACATACTCACAAACACTCACACACATGCTCATACAGTACACTCACATACACAAATATACAAACACTCATCGACATAACCTAATACACACCCTTAGACAATTTGTCATATACTTACACTTATACACATAAACTTACAAACAAAAATACCCTCACACTAAACTAATACACAAGCACTGATACAAATAAACTTAAACAAACACATACACATAAACACACTCACACACTTCAAGACACACTCCCAGTTACACACTCACACTTACTCACACCTCACACTCACATACAGTCATACACAAACATACACACACATACACTCCAACAAATATACTTATGCAAACACTCGTTTACAAACACTCTAACACACTTATACAGCTACTTAACTGGAAAGTACCTAACGAAAATTCAAATCAACCGAAAACAGAACAAACGGGTGAATGGATTACTTATTTAGAAATATTATGTAATGAATTTTTTTTTTATTTTAAATTATACAGAGTGTAACAATTTTACTTATGGCACTACATGCGAGAAGAGTTGTACTTGCCAACAAAGCAACACCAAATTTTGTGACAACATAAAAGGTGTTTGTGTGTGTAACAATGGCTGGACGGGAGATAAGTGCGACGAAGACGTTGACGAATGCCGAGCTGGTAAATGCCTAGAAAACCAAGTCTGTGTTAATACTCCTGGCAGTTTTCAATGTTCTTGCCGTGCTGGGTTTACACTAAATTCTGCAGGGAAATGTGAAGGTATTTACAATTCTTTAACATGAGTCCGTTCTTTATCGATGTGTGTACTTTGTAGTGGACAGCCGTCTTTAGGAAAAAAATGTTCACCTAAATTGTCCAAATACGAAAATCTAGTCTGGTATTAAGTTAAATGCGCCTCTAGCTGTTTTGGCCTTGATATATTTAAATTATTCAGATCAGCACAGCGAACTAGCTCAAAAAATATTCGAATGAGGAGTTACGAAAATCATAGTAACAATTACTTGCTCATGTTAATTATATATTATTTTGTCTTTTAAAGGAAGTTTAATAACTAAATTTTAATTTTGGTCTTTTTCAGGAAATAAAGTAAATTGCACTCTTCTGAATGGGAAAAACTGTTCACATTTTTGTACCAGTGTAAATAGTGTTGTGAAATGCGTGTGCCCAGATGGAATGACTGTTACTGGAAAATACTTGGAGCAATGCGAGGGTGAGTAAAACCAACAACAGCCACATTAATAATAGAAATGATAAAACAATTTTATTTATATACTACAGCTTTATAATGCTATTTTTTTCTGTAAAAAAAATAAATAAAAAGAAAGAAAAGTAGCATGTAATGATTTTTTAAAATTGATTTCACGTGTTTCATCTATAATTCTCACAAATCAAACTCTTCCATTTATTTTAATTTAATAATGGAAATTAACTTACAAATCTAATATAAAAGAAAGTTGTGTGAAGGAGATGTGTGTATTTAAATAGCACTTTAGAAATAAATTTAAAAAAATTAAATACAAACATGAATGATACAGCTATTAGAATGATCACTTGGCGTGAATATGTAGTGTCAAGCAAGTCAGCTGCTCCTATCCACAGGAGGATAATTATAATGGGGACAGGACAAATGATCTCAGGACAAACGATCTCAGACATTATTTCTCACGGACAAATGATCTCACGGACAAATGATCTCACGGCCAAATAATCTAAGTCACATGAACTCAAGGGCAAAAGATACCAGGACATAATATATCAGGACAAATGATACCATGGAGAATTGATCTCAGACAAAATATCTCAGACAAAATATTTCACAGCAAAATTTTATAGTGTAGCGGATGATTTTAGTTGATCTGAACATTTTTTTTTATTGACTGTCATATGGTTTTGTTTCCTCTGTTTAATATTGTTTATAGACCTATACAATGATTGTAAGAAATGTTTGCCGTATAAATTTGTCATATTGTACAAAAACATTTTAAAATTAAGATTACTACTGTAGTATGCGAAGAAATCTTTCCGATAGAAAGCGTAGGTCGGCTTGCCAAACACGAGACAATCCTACCATGTCAGGTGGACCAAACTAGATCAAAGGGAATGAAATAACAATAAAGATACACCTTCGTTTCAAAGTGGCCGCCCGCTTCGATGGCAGAGACATGCCTTATGGGTAAAACATCCGCTTTCCATGGACATTGCAACTAACATCTAAAGTCAATATATATGCGTCGGCCACACCTTAGTGATCAGGTGACAAATGCTTATTTAAACTACAGCGGTCATCGCGGAGCTAAGTTTTTCGTTGTGTACATGTAAACACAGCAGCATTAGTGGTGATTACTCAGCTAAGGCCTCTTTCGTTAACTTGCAAAAAAGGTCTGCGACATTAGTTTCTGGTGAATTTATGTTTATAAAAGCCGTAAGTTAATCAGCAGGCAAATAGATTTAGAAATGTGAAGTTAGAACATGTCGAGAAAGAGTTCACACAGTACTTGATCACATAGTATTGGAGTGGTGTGATCATAACGATGTACCTGCCAGCAAAGAAACGTAAACGTTATGTTTGTGTTGATGATACAATAAAAACAATAGTTTTACGTTACAAACCTGAAGACCCATTCACATTTTTGAAAAATATTTCGCGTATTTTGAACATTATTGTTGTATAGCTTCCTTTACTTTATTTGTTTTATATATTTTCATTTATTATTGTTTTAATTTTTTTCTTTTTCAAATTCGAATGCTATTATAAAGATTAACTTTAATAAATCTTTTGATTCTTAGTTAAGTTTTACAAATTCATTTTATTCACAATTATTATGCGAAAAAAAAGTTAACAAACCCATATTGACAGTCAATAAAAATTAAAATCAACTAAAATCATAGTACATACTATTAAAATTTTGCTGTGAAATATTTTGTCTGAGATCATTTGTCCATGATATCATTTGTCCTAATATATTTTGCACTGGTATCTCTTGTCCCTGAGATCATTTGTCCGTGAGATATTTTGTCTGAGGTATTTTGTCTGAGATCATTTGTCCTGAGATCATTTTTCATGGAACCATTATAATGCATCGATGTTCCATTGTGTGTCCTAGTCGGGAATGAAAGATACAGCTATTGAGTTTCAGAATAAGGAAAACAAAATTTGGATACAAATGAAACCGATTCTGTTCTCTGTTTTCAACACTAACATGAGTGTGTTAATAGTGTTCTACTTAACTGCTATGTTTTAAAATTCAGTATCACTGTACCCTTATGGAGTGTCATATGGAGATTCAAGTAGATCGGACAACTTTATAGACAAAATGTATGGGGAAGTTAAGTTCGGCACTGATGTTCCATTTGGTGATAACACTGTGAAATCAGCATATGTAAGTCTACCATTTCGGTGTGATTTCTTTTTATTTCTTTAGAATATTTTATGCAAATGAACCTAAAAAAACACTTCAAATATAAAATTCGCTTTAAAAAAGTAGAGTTTCCTTTCAAACCGGATGGTCTATGAGCCAAATAAAGTAGTTCACCTGAGTATGTGACCACTGCGTACGAAGGTATAGTGTGGTTATCACTATGCCCAGCCGCCTTTAATTTTCCTAACATGATTTAGGTATACATCAGAGCTGTGTGGACAAGGGCGGGCTATTGTTTTACAATGGTGTATAATTCAATGATTTTTTTGTGTTAAATATGAGTGATGAGCAACATTTAAAATATGAGATTCCTATAAAAAACAACATTCTTCCAGCTTTGAAAAAAATCAAGGCAATGTCGCTACACCGATGTCCCCGCTTATAGAATAGATTATAGATACAAATTAACAAAAAAAGCTTAGTTTTAATAGTATACTATAAATGTCTTGAATTGTATTTTATTTTTAAAAAAAAACTGTTATTCACATTCTCTAAAAGTAGTAGGCCTAGATATTTCCATTACTAACTAATGCTTCTTGAATGCTACACTTATGGTAGATAGGCAGATTTCTAAGCACAAGTTTGTTAACTTTCTATAAACCGATTCTAGTTGACTTAAACTTCGTCAGAATTTTTAAAATATCAAACTGTATATGTAAATCAAAACTTTTTCAAATTGTTTTATTTAAAAAGTCAGTTCTCTTTGTGACGGAGTCGATTACATATTCTTTTGCTTACATCTTTTTAGTTAATAATTGACAGTAAAATCATCTTTCAGATTTAAACATTTGTGTTGTTTTAAAATGATTTTTCCATGAAATTGTATCCTTAAAACAAAACCTAGACATCATAATATCTATTAAGCATAAAAGAAAATAGTTTGTGTGCCTGATTTCTGAAAGGCTTTGCAACTATTCTTGAAAAAGTTATTTTGTTTTTATTCAAATAATTACCTACTTAAATATACAGTAATTATATTATGTTCTCTGTTGGTTATCTTTTAATAAGGAATAAAATAATGTTAGCATTCATATTTTAACTAAAAAATCAGTAAATATTAAAATGACTCGTAAAATGAAAACAAAATCAACAGCGTAAATATTAATTGATTAATTTCTGTAACGTTCACAGATTCATGGATCTGGAGCTATAACGTTTGATGAAGGAAGTATTAGCTTGTCTCCTACTCACGATGCATCTAAACTAATCATAGAAGCTTTTTGGGCCAACATGAATCCCTTAAAAGGACAAGTTTATTACCATTTGTATGAGAAATGCGAACCGTCGATGTTTTCAGAAAGCGCTCAAACTCTGTCACCAGCTAAGCTAACTGTTATGGACAGAGCAAGGAGAGATGTGATAAACATTACTTCTTGGGCTGATTTTGACGTAAATGTTGTTTTAATAGCCACATGGGAACAGCAAGTGTCAAAGACCGATCAGGTACCATTTTAAACAAATTAATTTAACTAAATTTGCCTTACGTTCTGAAATACAATACATGTTAAGTTATTTAAATTGCAATGTTAATTGTTATTTAACTACTCTAATTCATACTAAAGATCTTTAAAAACATACGTATGTAATCCATTGTCAGAGGAAAAAGTCACACTAACTAACATGTTTTTTTTTTGTTTACAAATTAGACGAACATCCAAAACACCTTTCAAGCTATATTTGTCAGTGGGAACCGGAAAGAATCAAGCAGTGACAACGATTACTCAGGTGAAATAGAAAAGCAAAAAAAAAAAAAAAAAGAAGACTCCCGTGATGCAAATTCAGATCATTCAATAAACATAATTTAATGAAAGTTAATTTTATACATTTACTAGACTACCCGTCATCCGTTAGATAACTGTGGGTTTCGGGGGTCATCCATAAAAAACATTACGTCTGTCACTCAGACCCTTCCCGGCGGCCAAGAACAAGCTTTTCGATTTGAACCTCCCCCCGCCCCCCCCCCGCGCAAGATTTCGATTTGCACCCCCCCCTCAAACTTTCGATGTGCACCCCCCCTCAAGATTTCGATTTGCACCCCCCCAAACTTTCAATTTGCACCCCCTCAACCTTTCAATTTATTTTTCCAAACCCATTTTGGCGCCCCCTATGGTCGGCGCTCGGGGACATATGTCTCCCCCCCCCCCTTCGCTACGCTACTGCAGTTTCACTTATCGTCACAAAAAACAGACCCCACATTCAAAAATATGTTTTTTATCTTTTAAAAACACCAAAAACACGGATTTCGGACTATCCCTTCATATACTGACGTCACAGGTGACCTACTCAACTCTACTTCACCTGCCCAGTGTCCCGCCAAGTCTCAGACAATATGTTTTTATCGTTTAAAAAAACGATTCCAGCCGAGCATGTCTCTGAGCACACTATCCCTTCATATGCTTAGGACAAAGAAGCAGATTAACTCTACTTCACCTGCCCTGTATCCCGCCAAGTTCAGATTGGCAACTTTATCATTCACATCTAAAAATAAAAAATTGAGAAAAAGAATTATGATTGACGTATTGGTCTAGAACCTGTGCCACCCGCATGCTAGCCGGTTACACTAACAACTTAGCTATTTAACTCGTGACGTCACAGATGCATTTTTATACTATACTTTAATACTTTGAGTCTCCTTATGCAACTTGATTTACGCGCATAGATCTAGATCTTAGTCTTGTAGTAGTAACTTTCAAATTAAATTTTATCTTAAATTAGCCAAACAAAGATTTATATAAAATAATGAAGGACTGAAATTATCTAGATCTAATCTAGATAGAATTATCTAGATCTAGATTCTACAACTCGTTTGCTTAAGTCTAGTATTTGCGTAACTCTTGCTAGATCTAGATCTAGATCTAGATTATTCTAGATCTAGAATCTAGATCTAATCATTAGACCTATTCTAGCTAGATAAATTTAGATTTAGATAGATAAATCACAAAGATTTATATCAAGTATTTAAGGACTAAAAATGTATTATGATTATAAAATGGATTGTATTTTATCTAATAAATCTTTGTTATGTATCTAGTTAATCTTTTGTTTGACCTAGATTCTAGATCTAGATCTATAAATAACTTGCTTGGCCACAGGATATTTTTATATCTATAAATAACTTTCTTGGATAGATTGTAGAGCTAGAGAAATTTATTGTAAACAAAATGAAAAAGACAGTTGAACATTTATATAAGTTTTGGAACGTAATAAAAACGGACGTATTGTTAAAGTTATGGCCGACAGAAAATTAGATTTAGAACGCGTTAAACTTTTGAATGGGCATATGATGAAGCCGCCATTTTATTGTACTAAAAAGTAAACAAAAATGTGACGTCACTGTTTCGTCGAGTCTAGTGGTTTTTCTAATCTTTAAAAATTAATGTGGTTCATCTACCTATGAATAAATCAATAAATTAATTAACGTCTTTAAATAAATTTGTGATTAACAGTCTGTCTGAAAAAAAAATTGTTCTCTACCTACATAATATTTTACAGCTCTCCACATAGAGTAGAACCATTTACAATAGTCAATCAGACAAAGAAAAAAACAAACAAACAAAAAAAAATACTCAAACATGTAAACAAACTTGAGTTTTAGTAGATCCATAGATGACATCACGTCTGCCAACACTTTTCATCCCAAAATAACCAGACCCCACATTCAAAAAGACTTTTTTATATTTTAAAAACTCTACTAAACTCTAATTCACCTGCCCAGTCTCAGACATGTTTGTATTTTTAAAAAAAAACGATTCCGACCGAGCATGGCTCTGACCACACTATCACTTATTATGCTGAGAACATAGAAACAGGTGAACTCTACTTTACCTGCCCTGTGCCCCGCGAGGTCCCGATAGTCAACCTTATCATTCACATATAGGTCTGGAAAAAAAAATAATTGAAAACATTGTTGTAAAAAGAAAAAAATCTTTATACTATTACTAAAGTCATTGTTCTAAACATTTATAATTAATGTGGTTAATCTACCAATGAATGTATCAATAAATTAATTAACGGTTTTAAATTAGTTTGTAATTAACAGTGTGTTTAAGAAAGAACAATATTTACCACCCAAAATCCTATTTTACAGCACTACACATAATGCAGATTCTCCCCAATAACAAATCAGAAAAACAAACAACCAAAAAAAAAATGAGTTATCAAACGTCACTATTCAGTCAAAGTTAAGCCATTGTTCTAAAACTTTAAAATTAAGGTGGTTAATCTACCTATGAATAAATCAATAAATTAATTAACGTCTTTAAATAAATTTGTGATTAACAGTCTGTCTGAAAACAAAAATTGTTCTCTACCTACATACTATTTTACAGCTCTCCACATAGAGTAGAACCATTTACAATAGTCAATCAGACAAATAAATATTCAAAGATGTAAACAAGCTTGAGTTTTAGAAGTATACTAGACTACCCGTTATCTAGTTAGATAACTGTGGGTTTTGTGGGGTCATTCATAAACGACATCACGTCTGCCAGCACTTATCATCTCAAAATAACCAGACCCCACATTCAAAAAGACGTTTTTTATATTTTAAAAACTCTACTAACTCTACTTAACCTGCCCAGTGCCCCGCCAAGTCTCAGACATGTTTGTATTTTTAAAAAAAAAACGATTCCGGCCGAGCATTGCTCTGACCACACTATCCCTTCATATGCTGAGAACATAGAGACAGGTGAACTCTACTTCACCTGCCCTGTGCCCCGCGAGGTCCTGATAGTCAACCTTATCATTCACATATAGGCTTTAAGAAAAAAATAATTGAAAACATTGTTGTAAAAAAAAATAATCTTTTTCTATTACTAAAGTCATTGTTCTAAACATTTATAATTAATGTGGTTAAGCTACCAATGAATATATCAATAATTTATTTAACGGCTTTAAATTAGTTTGTAAGTAACAGTGTGTTTAAGAAAGAATAATATTTACCACCCAAAATCCTATTTTACAGCTCTACACATAATGCAGATACTCCCCAATAACAAATAAAAAAAAAATAAACAAACAAAAAAATGAGTTATTAAACGTCACTATTTAGTCAAAGTTAAGCCATTGTTCTAAAACTTTAAAATTAATGTGGTTAATCTACCTATGAATAAATCAATAAATTAATGAACGTCTTTAAATAAATGTGTGATTAACAGTCTGTCTGCAATAAAAAAAATTTCTCTACCTACATACTATTTTACAGCCCCCCATATAGAGCAGTTTCCTTACAGTACCAAATCAGACAAACAAACAAATATTCAAACATGTAAACAAACTTGAGTTTTAGTAGTATATAGATAGATAGATAAACTTAAGGATTCTTTACGTGTTATAACTGAGTCAATTGTTGAATCTACTGGGTTATCCGCCCCTCCTAACCCATCAGAGGTGTAGCGACCCTTCCCGGCGCCCGGGGACAAACTTTTCGATTTGCAACCCCCCCCCCCCTTCAAGATTTAGATTTGCACCCCCCCCCCCTCGCTACGCTACTGCGTCCCATACCTGAACTCGGACAGCCGTAACCTGATATGAATGCATCCCTGTCTCACCGAGCTATGTGTAGGCTAGGGCGCCAGTTTCTCCCACTCACTGGACTGCCAGGGTCAGGAAGGGATTCAGGTCCTGAGGGTGAAGCTTGGGCCGGGAGAATAAATTACGACAGTTGAACTTTAGCCTTGCTAGGATGTAGATTTTTTTTTTTTTTGTAAAGTGTGGTAGGGCTGGCCCCTAAGGCTGGCCCCTATTGATGTTCAAAATTGCGTTCCTATTTTATCCAAGACTAAAGTATCAACCATTAAATTTAAGGAGCTAAAATTGCGTTTGTGTTTTCTTGAACCTCTGAATGCAGTCACCAGGATCAATCACACTGATGACTGATGAAGTCATAACAATAAGGAACTTAATTCTCAAGCATTGCATATACTTATCTCATTTTTAACATGTTGCCATTAAACTCGATTTTGTCGTGGTCTAGCAGAAATAATTGTTACAATATTTAATTGTGTTAAGGTTCATTACTAGTAAAGAATCGTGTTATCATTAACAAATTAAAGACTATTTGTAGATAATTTTACCTATATCTTTTCAGCTGAAGAAACATCTTTCGTGATTTATCTTTATCCAAAGAATCAAATGCGCTGGTGTAATAAAGATGTGTTAATTGGTGTAAGTGCTGGAACGTTTTCAGCATCTGCAACAGTTGGTGCAGGTTGGCTAAAAGGTAAATGTATAGGACATTTTTTTCCCTTTTTATTTAAGCTGTCGTTTGAAACTGGCTATGCTATGTGATTGCTTTGTTAGTCGGTAGATTTACACGTAGTTCTCTTGTCAGTATGCAACGTTTGGTTATTTAATACGCTTTGCATTTTCACAATGATAGTGCTAGTTCTTTTATTTCCCAAGGTATAGGTATGTTAAAGCAAGCTGGCGTTGTTTTTTAGGGCTGGATGTTAATATTTCTGAGATGTTTTTTCTATTACTTCGTTTATCTTCAGTTATGACATGGATTGTCAAGGGTGATTTTAGTTTCACCATATATGCTCTTGGTACATGATCGTTGTGTAAGGTGGAGTTGCAAATATGTGAAGAAATGGAAAGGTGGCAGTTAATTATTTAGCATGGAAGTATAAAGGATATAAAACAATTCGCTTTGCAATAATACATTAATTTCTATACATCTATTGATATTTTTATATAATTGCTGGTCGTAAATCAATTAGTTCTATAATCATTGATGTCAAGTTAAATATAAACTGTACTGGATTAAACGTTGTCATATTACATATCTTTGGATCAAGTGTATCTTTTACACGAAATTTAAAAAAAGAAACAAATATATTCTGACTCGAAGTGTAAGGCACTGCCAATGGTTATAGGTTCAGCTAATTTAATAAATGGTATCATTCGTTTATACAATTACAAGGGCTAACCAATTTTCGCCAGCAATTCTTTCAGGTTTGTGATCGTCATGTGTCAAGTTGTGTATTCCTGAGAACAAAAATGTTATCTCTGACATATATCTGATCCTTTCTTTATTATGATCACAAACTCCATGTTTACATGACTGGAGTGCTTTTTGACGTATTCAACGCTTGTAGTTGTCCATCTTCAAAAAGCAAAAATACAGAAACCCATTAACTATATTAAAAAAGTGTGTTTAAAAATAATAACGGCTTTTGAAAGTATAATATACAAGTAGAAAACAAAATAAGATGATCGGAAATGGGAGGTGGTAACATTCTAAATCCGCGTTTCAACCAGGCTAATCAAAAGTCGCTAATTAATACCACAGGTTCTTTTTACACGCCATCGCTCGCTTGGTACACTGACTACAAACCGAATTTCGATTAAAAGTTTTTAATTGGCAAAGCTTTCCGAACGAGATACGCTTTATCCTCTACAGCAAATCTTAGTTAGAAAGAGAGCCTAACATAACCTCAATCAATGAAAAAGACCAAATAGTTTCAGCGCGTTACCATAATTTTCTATTTGTCATATTAAGCGAAATAGTAGTACGAATTGCACACCAGTGTATATTCTTTGAGAAAACTTGTAATACCTTTTAAAAACTCATTTAGAATTAGAGGCTTAAGGTACTGCCTGATTTATAGATGTGTAAAAACTAACTTAATCCAATTATCTCCGTTCACAATGTAGACAATATTGTTTGAATAAAAATAAGGAAATTAAGTTTATTTGAATTAGCAGTAATAAATTTTATTCTTCAAATTTGCATTAAAGGACCAGATTTTCAAGAAAGAAAATCATTTTCTGTTGGACGCAAGACCAGCACTGTGCAGCAGTGCCAGAGATACGTGTGTAAAAACAGCCGTCAGATAACAAACCCAATTTACCGTCAAGAGATAGAACAGCTGTACAAATGTCCGTGTACACTCGACCGTCTTGGCCTACAGTGGGGATTTTATGAACAACGTAGTCCGAATATTTACTGTTTTTCTATAAGACTTGTGGCGAAAAGGAGACTGCTTATGACTAATCCAAGAAACAAGGTACGTCAGTCTTCACAATTTACAAACTAATACAGACACGCCACCACACAACCTAAACAAACTAACACACTCACCATATATATATATACATATACATATACATATACATATACATATACATATACATATACATATATATATATATATATATATATATATATATATATATATGCACATTACGAATAAGTGAGGCTAAAGGAAACACATACAAATAGAAAAAGGAAAATACTTAAGCTTATTCGTGTGTAGCATTGTTAGTGACAAGCTGCTGCAAAGCATTATTATAAAATTTTGCAGTAATTTATCTCTAACTGTAGGTTTGCATCCAGTATGGATTATATAGGTTCGTACTTTATTATTAGTGACCATTAGTACCGATACGAATGTACCCAATACACAACGACCAGCAGCAGTAGGATAAATGTACCTATGTGCAAATGTTGAGCGCAAAATCGGTAGGTCGCGTTATCGCGACAGTCGGCGTTAAGGGGTTAATTCTATTCCTTAATCTATCCTTTCCTCTGTCTTTCCAAACACGCTCTCTTTTTCTGTCTTTGTTTATCTATTTCGTTTCACGCAAAATATTAGTAATGTAGCAAACGATAATTAGCTTATTCGTATAAATCGACAATACAATTATATTGTTCAACACAATGATACTAATTCAACTTCTTTATTAGTTGTGCTGCTATAGATGGGATAAACCAGCGGATAACAGCAACTGGCAGTTCTGGGCCCAACAACTGGCAGTCGCCACGTTTGTACATAACTCGCCAGACGCTGGTCATGTGATTCCTGGAGATCCAGAGTGGTTTTTGGAGGGAGTCCGTGAAAACATCGACGCCCACCAGTGGTGCTGTAAGGACGCCAACAAGGCTAAACTGTGTGAGAGATTCGACAAGATCTACCCGGACATGGAGTGCTCCTATGATGTGGAATTTGTTCCAGGTAATGGCGCGTTGTTTATTTTAATATCGATGTTATCAAGAAGCTCATAACTGGTATTAATGAGTTTGAAGTTAGCTTTAATTATTGTATTTTGTATACATTTAAAATTAGGTTATTTGTTGGGTGATCCAACTATTGTGACATTAGACAACGTCACCTATTTGATGAATGGCTGGGGAGAGTACACGCTAATGGATGTTCCTACTGAAAACTTTACTCTTCAGGTTGTATCAATTATCAATTATCATTTTTCTTTTAAAATAACAGAAATTACTACTAAAAAAACGATTACAATATGTAAACTCTAGCACACTTAACAAACATGAAGTTTTATTTATACAGGCTCGAACAGACCGTATTCAGACCAGTAAAGGCTTGTCTAATGGCACGGTGTTCACAGCTTTTGCTGCTATGGAAGGAAATAAGACGCGATTTCAAGTGGAGCTTTCAGACTCAAAAAAATGTAAGGAAATGTTATGGGTCGTTTTGAAATGATAGTAGCCTACATTGTTAGGGGGTAGTGAGACTTGTTAATGCTTTTGTGACAACAAATAACTATGAAGTGTTGGGCGGGGTTGGGGTACTTTTAGATAAATGCTATTATACGTCAACATATAATGTAAGATTTTAGGTTAAATGGAATTAGTAATTTAACGTTTTAGTACATATTTTTTTGTTTGAATAAAAATTATAATTTATCTAATATCGGACTGGATGTGTAGTGTTATTCTGTAATTAGCGTTTTTTTTTCTCAATAAAATAACATTTAAACATTGGTTTAATATTTTTTTCTATTTTATGCAATGGGTAAAAATCGTTTAACATTTTAATCAACATTTCAATTAAATTGAATTTAATAATGAGGGAGAGTGACGTTCATTTGATTATGTGCGATGTAAGTTGTGGGAGACAAGTTGAAATTAGGTCATAAAACATGGAGTCGTTTATCGAAGAACACTTATTGATTTCCAGAAACAATTTAACGTGAAAAAAGTGATTAATTAAAAACTAACTTTAAATTTGGTATACTATAAAATATTAGTTAAAACAAATGGACACTTATCTATATTGATTTTCCACAGCAATGGAAATACTTGTCAAAGGACTGAATCTTACGGATGACTTTTATCGCCAAGTTGACTACAAATTATCATTAGAAGATATAGATGTTTCACGTGATAACAGCGGCAACACTACCAAAGTTGTTGTCACGTTCCCTTGTGGTTAGTTAAACACAGATATAAGAAAATAACGATGAGTTGCTTTATGTTGCTACTATGTACATATTAAGCATTGCTAACGATTTATTAGCAACGATGTATTATTATAGTTTGACTTTGCACAAACTTACCATTGCTTTTGTAGATGAAAACAAATTCCAATTCGAGCCTTAGGTTTCATCGCACAAACGAAGTAGAGTTCACCTGTTTCAGTGACATCGGCATAGCGTAATAATTACTTATGTCAATACATAAAAATTACAATTAGAGCATGAAGGTTCAGTGAGCAGGTGAAGTAGAGTTAACCTGTTTCAGTGACATCAGCATACATAGGGATAGTAGGGTCAACATTATGCCCAGCCGCCTTTATTTTCCCTAACCTGAGTTAGTTACCCATCAGAGTTGGGTGGACTCAAGGTTGTTCTACTGACTTGAATTCAAGACTTTCGGGTTTCTGGTTAGCAGTCGTATGTTCTAATTTCCGACCACATCGTCCCATTTGCCTTTATAAACACCGGTAAATCTGTCACTATACATATATGTATATATCTATAATATGAATATGACTATGTATATAAACATATAATCCTGACCTCGGCCCTATTTGCTAAGTGGACGTTTTTGCAGTACTACCTCAAGTACACACATGAGTTAAATTTCCCAATATCTCGATCACAATGGCAACTTTCAAACATAAGCTTTATGATTTGTCCATAATTAATTGCTGCCATTGCAACAAACACGTTGTTGTTACCTAACATGTACATCCTTTAGACTACATTTTAAAGCATACATATCGCTTCTTCATTGAAATCGCGGAAACGCTATCGTATTAAAAATATATAACCTCTGAAAATACGTACGTGTACATTTTCATCTAACAACTCACATCATTTATGTAAAGAAATTTTCAAGCATATGTTTTTATATTGTCACCATACTGGATTTAGGTTATGTCGTCGTTTCTTGTGTAAGGCCGTCAACATAACCGGTTTCGATTTCATATATTATCGTAAAATATGTTCTGAATACAAAATAACATTACATAATGAAATAACAATAGAAATATTTGTATTATAGGAGTATCTATGATTGTAAGAGTTGGAGTCCAGAACCTGGAGCTAGAGATACAGGTGGTGAAAACGTTAAAAAATAAAACAAGAGGTCTACTTGGAAACTTTAACGGAAAAATAGACGATGAGTTTACCTTACCTAATGGGACTACGTTGTCACCTAATTTAACAGAAAGTCAGATTTTCTACAACTTTGCTACTAAATGTAAGTCGTTTATTTTATTTTTACGTTCTCGTATATACGAAGTATAGAGAAAGTCTTGTAATCGTTTTACACCTCACTGATACGGAAAAATGTAATTTTGCAATCTTTTCCGTATGTCTTTGTGTCTGTGTGTGTGTCTGTGTGTGTGTAAACACGATAACTTGAGTACCGTTACAGCTAGGTTGATGAAATTTCATATATAAGTATTTTATCAAAATCGTAGATCCCTATCAACTTTTTAGCGAAGTGGTACTTTTTCTACTTTGAATTTTTCAAAAGCCTATAACTTGAGTTCTATTCCAGATAGATAAATGAAATTTCACTTGTAAGTAAAACATCTAATTCTCTACCTTCTGTCAAATTTTGAGTAATTTCCGTTGACCGCAAGTAGTAATTTACGCTATTTTGTTTTAGCGTTCGCTTTGTGCGCAATTCTTTTTTTCTACGAGATTCTATTCTATTTTTAAAAGTTTAAGTAATTAAAAATCATGTTTATATTCCGAGTTATATAAGAATATTCGAGAACGTTTAGGGGAGATCACTCCCGTTTTATTTTAAGTTATTACTATTTTTCAATGTGTATTAGATATAAGCTTTATTAATCGTAAAATGGCATTGAAAATATTTTCAGATCAAGTCACTGCAAACACATCAGTGTTCATATACAAGCCAGGAAAGACATTTTCTGACTATCAGCATCCAACGTTTGTTCCTGTTTTCTTGGACTCTCAAAATACCAGCACAATGACAGCTGCAGTAGCACTGTGTGGTGCAGGGAAAACTTCCTGTATTTACGACTACTTGATAACAAATGACTCTACCTTCGCTTTAAATACAGACAACACATTGAAGCAGTCAACTGCAAAGATTTTACTATTGGGTATTTTTAATACATTACAAAAATCGATTTCTATGGAATTCTGGAAAAATAAAACGTCGAATTTGCATACTTTATTAATCTTTCATGCTTTAAAAAAAGCCTAATATTTACCAGACCATGTGCACACTTATATATATATATATATATATATATATATATATATATATATATATATATATATATATATATATATATATATATCTACCTCTCCCTCTCTCTGTCCGTCACATCTTCAATCTCTTCATCAATATATGGATAGTTGACGGGTATGGACATTTGTTAAAATTATATGTTGGATGTATTAATGTAAAACCTAGATTTTATTTAAAGATGGAAAATAAAAATATAGGTATATTCAGATATTAAAATACATCTTTAATTATGCAAATAGAAAAGATTTTTTGATTGTGACAACAAGTAAGTAATACAAAAAATATCACCGTCGAAAAGAACGGTATCACATGAAACAAACAAAAATATCCTTATAAACCAATGTAAAAAAAAAAGTTAAAATTACTAACGTACCTAACACTTATTGACTGAAGAATAAAAAGTAGAACTGATAATCAAATGTCAGCAATGGTACACAATACTAATGTCGTCATCTTCAATAAGATTCGAATCCCACATCTTCTAATTTTAAAACATGAAAAATGAATTATTTCATTCAATTTTGATTTAAATCTAAAGCTCTACTTATCAAGAATTACGCTAGTATATATAAACACTTCATTAGTTTTTGATTACTTTGCAGCTAACAATTGCCCGAATGTATCAATTGTGAAAAACGAAAACTACACAAACAAAAGATGGATCGTCCAGCAAGGAGTGGCCAACATACTACGTATCAACGCCACAGATGCTGACAAAGACGTGTTAACCTACACGTTGTATGAGAGCGTCACAGGAGTGTCAATCAACCAAAGCGGGTTTTTGTTTTATACACCATCTTCATCATCACCAGTTAAAATAGGGTGAGTATTTCTTAGCTTGCTCGTATATCTAGATGTTGGTGAATGTAGTGTCGTCGCTAGGTCGGGTGTCAATAATTAAAGGGGAGATAGCAAGATAAAATACATACTAGCAAATGCTGGATCCGCCGAGACTAAACTCTGTTCAGGTCATGGTTGGCTGAATTCGTCAACCAATAGGTAATTAGGGATAGGTAACTCAATTTTAGAGATTACATGATACTGGGCGGATTTTAACGCAAACAATTAGATCTTAAAATAAATAAAGCGGGAGTGATCTCCTCTAAATTTTCTAGAATATTTATATATAACACTACGGGGAGTGGCAACTCCGGATATAGACATGATTTTTATAAATTTTTAATTGCTTAAACTTTTTAACATAACATAGAATCTCGTAGAAAAAAGAATTGCGCACTAAGAAAACATCAAACAATGTGTGTATAATAGTGCGGAATATTAGTACATTATCAATTTATATGCATTTTTTGAGAAGTGAAGTACTCCTTCAGGTACACGGAAATTACATGGGAATTAGATTTTTAACTAGACTACCCGTTATCATTAGATAACTGTTGGTTTTAGGGGTCATCCATAAACGGCATCACGTATGTCACTTATCTTCACAAAACAACCAGACCCCACAAAAAGACGACACCTCAGACGTTTTCGTCTTTTAAAAACACTGATTTCGGCTGAGCATGGGCCTGACCACCCTATCTTTTCATATGCTGAAGTCACACACGAATTTTACACCCGCCTAACTGTATTTCACCTGCCCAGTGTCCCGCCGAGTCTCAGACATGTTTTATCGTTTAAAATAAAATACTTAAAAAAAAACATTTTAAAAAAACACGTTTTTCTTGTGGACTAAAAAGTAGAAAATAAATTTTTCTTTTGTGCTTCCTCGAGCTGTGCAGGTTCTTGTGATGACTGACAAAAAACGTGGGTACGTTCACCATCAAATTTCCCGACCCATCTGCCCGACCCACGTTTCTTGTCATCAAATGTATGAAAATTTATTTTCTATACGCTTTAAACAGAGAAAGGGCGTAATTTAATTAAGCCTACATGCCGTGACCAGGATTCGAACCTGGGTTGTCGCGGCCACAACGCGAAGTACTAACCATTATACGATCACGGCCAGCGCGCTCACATCGATTGGGGCCGAAGTAACTGTGTCAATAGGCCTCCAGTCTTGTCGGTATCTTTAGAAATCATGTCCTCAATTTTAGGGTCCTTGGGGCGTAATTTAATTAAGCTAATTTAGGTCTCTAATTGCTAGTTTTTATGATTGCATCTGAAATTGTTAGGCGAAAATAGCCTGCATGCCAAATTTCAGATCTCTAGAGCAATCAGAAGTGGGCTAATTTTCGATGTCAATTTTAACAACAAACAAACAAACAAACGCGAAGCTGAGTTAAGAAAAACGTGTTGAAAAGATTCCGGCCGTGCATGTCTCTGGCCACAGTATCCCTTTATATGCCAAGGACACAGAGACAGGTGAACTCTATACATCTAAAAATAATAACATTGACGTGATATGTCTCGAACCCGAGACACCCGCATGGTAACCTAATATGCTTACATCTTAACTATCTAGGCTCGTAGGTTTAGGGACATTTTACTCATAAATTTTACTTTTATTCTGTGTAAGAAACTTGATTTACGCGAATAGGCCTAGTATTAGATCTATTTCAAACTAAATTGTATCCCAAATTATCCAATTTAATAGCTAAACAAAGATTTATGTAAAATAATGAGTGCCTGAAATAGTTTAGTATAGAAACTCATTATTATTTATATCCAGATAGAGTTATCTAGATTCTACCACTGGTTTGGTTAAGTTTAGTTTTCCCGTAGTTCTAGATCTTGAGCATAGATAGATAAATCACTTGTATTCTTTAATTAGATAATCATTAAAGCTAAAAAGCAAAGATTTATATTATATATTTAAGGACTAAAATAGTTTAATAAAGAAACTCAACAATTTATGGTGATTTTATAATTTATTTATTTTAAACTAATTAAGTTTCTAGGTCTAGATTCTAGGTCTATAACTTCATCGTCAGCTGATCTTTAAATTCTAGATTCTAGATCTAGAGAATTTTATTGTACGAGCCGACCCGCGGTGTATCATACGCCGCTATTGAGTTGTTGTTTTTTCTACTTTTTAGTAATTCATAATTTGTGAATTCGACAGTACTAATGCTTTAAAACACTACCTCCCCCCCCCCCCCCCAAAAAAAAAAGCAGCCTCCTATTAGTTACCTCCTCTAAGTTTAAAATCGTTTCAAACTAAATTATCTGCCCCTGATAGGAGTCAATAAACCCGGCTCTATGATTGTTTTGTAAACATTTAGCGTTAACCACAGCTCACCAGACCATGTGAGGGGAAGGGGGCGGGGGTGGTAGCGATAGAGAGGAAGAGAGGGGACTGCAAGGCGCGCTTTCAGCTTGTTTTCTAACGTCTCCCAGAAGAAAATTATATATATAGAGATACTTAAATGAAAAGGACTGTTGAAAAATGATATTAGTGCTGGAACCTAACAAATATAGCAAACGAATTGTACAACTCTACACGTAGTGCTTATTATTTCCTGTAACCAAACGTACAAAAAAAAAATCAAATAAATATTCAAACATGTAAATAACAGTGGCGGAACTGGAACTTGGAACTACAGTGCCGCCAGACCCCACAATGCGGGAGGGGGGGGGGGGGGGCAGGCCGTTTAGGGCCCCATGGCTGACCATAATTAATATATTTTTAAAATTTTGAATTTAATTTTCGTGCATTTTTGCCTTTATATTTGGTTTGTAAAAGAAAAACACTGTAGCTGCGGTACAATTATCTTTATTTTACAGTAACTATACCACGCTCTTATACATATATATATAAATATATATATATATATATATATATATATATATATATATATATATATATATATATAAATATAGGGGAATCAACAAAATTCTAGGGGGGTTGGGGCCTTTTTTTTCTTGTTCCGCCACTGGTAAACAAACTTGAGTTTTAGTAGTATATAGATAGATTGTGTACGAAATTTAGTCTATCAATATAATACAAACTTGTAAACAACTCGAGTTTTTGTAGTGTTTAGATAGATAGATTAAAACAAAACCAATAAAACTGCAGTATATTAAAAGGTTGTTTTATACTTATATCACTTATTTGCAGATTTCGAGTTAAAGATTCAAAGAATTGTTCCACACCTGTTTTCAACATTCAAACGGCTATCTGCCCGCAGTGCAGAAATAATGGACGCTGCAACAGGGATGAAAGACAAAACATTGAGTACTTTGGTGGACAAGTTCAATTTCTAAAGTGTAATTGTCAACCCGGGTTTACAGGTATTTTAATCATTTTTTTTCAGAACAAAGAGCGAAATTATTTGCTTCAAATTATACATTAAGGTATTTGCGTTTCATTTTTAGATGTTGCATGGTGTATTTAAGGTTTGTGATTCGCTTCTAAATCTGAATATGTTGTAATATTTTTCAAATAAAACTTAATTGTAAATCTTTTTTCCCCTTAAAAACTGATACCCATCTATGTGTTGAATAGAAATAACTAAGAAATATTCATAGGTGAGAATTGCGAGTTTGAACTGGACGCCTGTCTTTCAAAACCCTGCTCTAAAGGAAAAACATGCACAGACCTAACGGCAGCTCAGCAAGGCAACAGTACTGTGGGATATGTCTGTGGGCCTTGTCCTAGAGGGTATGTGGATGTCGAAGATCTATGTGTTGGTAAGTCTAACCTAAATAGTTTAGAATGATTGTGAGGTTTGGGATCAATAGCATTTTTATTTTCTGCTCAGTTTTGGAACAGCCTATATAAACAAAATCATTTTTAAATTAAATTTCTGCGAACGGTTATTTGCCTCTCGAATATGTTGTTGATTTTATACCGTGTAAAGTTTTAAGTGCCAAGTGCATTAAAACATCAATACTTCATTTAAATTTAACATAAACATCCAATTTTTATACAACAATTGAGATTATTAAATGCAAGTCTCTCAAATAGTGCATATACCTAAACTAAGTACATATTCTGATTAGGAAGCACTTCTTATTTATTATCAAGAATGTCCTTAACAGTAGAATGATTGTAAAGTTAAATTTATATATCTCTATCTCGCTTACAATTCTTAACTATTCAGTTCGCACGTAGGTCAAAGACAGTAAACTAGTAAATAATATGTTTTTCCTCAATTCAATACAGTCTTAAAGCATTTAAGTAATCTTTACATTTGTTGGCAGATGTCGACGAATGTGAAAACAACAGTACATGTCAACACACTTGTGAGAACACAGAGGGTTCTTTTGTGTGTGGCTGTAATACAGGATACGTTCTCAACAGGACTGACTCCAGGACTTGTTTAGGTATATGTTCGATAACCCCTTTTTATGTTAAATGTTTTCAACATTGTTTGTCTAGTAACACCCGTATATATAGTGGAAGTTGATGAATAAAGTCTACTTTTCGACTGATCATCAGAGGGGTGGGGGGGGGGGTGCAAATCAAAAGTTTGAGTGGGGGGGGGTGCAAATCGAAAATTTGAAAGTTTGTCCCCACGAAGGGTCGCTACGCCTCTGGGGGTGACACCATTAAGTGCCGCACCGGGTGACACCCGACCTCTGATCATTGTAGTATTTTGTAACATGTAGAAGAAAATTGAGCTCTAATAACTAGTTTGGATCTTATTCTTATAGTGAAAGTGTAAATAAATCATTTTTATTGATTGAAACATCTAGTATTCTTAGTTAGTATCGCAACAGTTATTTGTATTAATAACTTAGGATTAAAGAAAAATCAATCGTAAAATGCTAATAACTATAAAAAAAAAGCTTTTGTATGATAGCGAATATATGTTTTTTTTAAAATATATTAAAGTTAGAAATGTTACATTTCAACAGCGAAAAACTGCTCCAACAGATGCGTTATGTCAAACACTTGGTATTGTGATGAAACTGTCAGCGTGTGTGTGTGTAAAAATAACATCCAGACAGCAGATTGTTCTGTTGTTGTGGACTTATGTGCCAGTAATCCATGTCCAGCGAACCGGAAATGCAGTAGCGAGACCAATGGCTACGAATGTAGATGCATGAATGGGTTACTACCTGTTGATGGGATATGTACAGGTGATATATTTACATAAATACAATATAATATCCTAATATATAAAAGACCATGTGCGCACTTCTCTCTCTCTCTCTCTCTCTCTCTCTCTCTCTCTCTCTCTGTCCGCAAAATATTTTCGCCAGACATCACATCAGAATCTTCAGCGATATATGGAGAACTTTATACGGACTTTTGTTGAACAAAATATGGTAGATGTTTTAAATGTATAACCAACATTTTATTTAAAGAAGAAAAATAAAAAATAAAGGCATATTCGAATGTAGAAAAACAGTTTTAATTATGTAACAGGAAACGTGTTTATTGTTGTGAAAAAAACCCATGAAACAATTACGTCACTAATGTGAAATGTATACAATACAATTTTTCCGGCCTAAACTTATAAAATTTATTTTAACCTTTCGGATTCTAGATCTAGACTAGATCTAGATCTAAATCTACGCAAAAACTAGACGTAGACGCTAAATCGCTACAATGTAGATTTAGACTCTATCTACTCTAGAATCTATTCCAAAAATAAATTTCTATAATAAACTATTTCAGGCCTTAATTATTTTATAGAAATCTTTGTTTGTTTAGCTATGGAACTGGCTAATTTGGGATAAAAAAATTAATTTGAAAGAATAGACATATTATCGTAAGTTAAGCATTTTAAATACGAGGCACAACAAGTCAAACTTAATTATTTATTTTTTTATGTGTGAATCTTCCGATTTTATACTATAAAGAAAGGAACTACTTCATTTAAAATATGATCTTGCTCTATAGATCTACTGATCAAGACGTACGCTATGAAATATATACGATTTTATCGGTCAAACTAATACATATTACTTAAAAACAACATAATGACAACTGAATAGCTAGTTTTTAAACGAATCATTTAAGTCACTTAATCAGTGTGTGCCTGTGTTATGTTAAATGTGTCGGATTTTTAGCTAATTAGTTATTTCTTTGCTGTGTCACTAATATCTTCCAGCGTGTATTAAAGCACATTGCGTTTTAACCAATAACTATTTCATAAATTATTTTCTCAAACAAGTACAACATTTTAAAATATATAGGCCTATAATTCAAGTGAAACGGGTACCGATGGCTAGTAATTATATAAAAAAGAAAACGTTTTTAAAAAATGCTCATAATTGGATTGCATGTAATACATTTTGAAATTTAAAAAAAAAACAAATTAAATTATAGATTGCAATCGAATCCTGACTGCGTCATCTGGTAGTTTTATGAGCACCAACTACCCAGATAACTACCCTGATGGAGAATCTTGCACCTGGACGATCAAGTCAAATGACACTAACTCGATAATACTTCTCAAGTAACGATGCAATAAAACATGTTTATGTTATCTATATTATGTCATTAAGCTTTCTTTTTCTAATCAATTATTGATTGCTATACATTTTGTGAATACTTTAAAAAGTATTTTAAATAACTGCTAAAAATCACTTATTATTCATGCTTGAATGAATCCACAGTATCACAGACTATCAAGTAGAAGGATGCCCGTACGACTATTTAGAGATCTATGATGGTCCCAGCATGGACTCTGACAGTATAGGACAATACTGCAATGATGAAGTTACCGGCGTTATCAGTTCTTCCAGTAACTCCCTGTTCCTTTCTTTTACTTCTGATGAATCTGTTAATGAAAAAGGATTCCTGGCTACCTATGTTATTGAGTGTAAGTTAGTGTGGTTAGTTATGTACCTGCAACTCCGCGTTCATATTATTTGCACATTGTATATCAGTAATCAGATGGCAGGTTTATAAAGATCAGTTTATAGTTAAAACTTATTGACAGTTCAATAAGGTGAAACAATCGGCTAATGTTAACTACAATTTATATATATGTATATGTATATGTATGTATACATACATATATATTTATATTCACGTGATAAATGTATACTTACCTCTATTGTTTTGCTTCTCACAGCCCTGTGTAGAATAAAACAATGTTCCCATGGCTGTAAGCTGGTCTCTGCCAGTCCACGAGTCGAGCAGTGTTTGTGTCCAGAGTGGACAAGACTGGACAGTACACAAACAATATGTTTAGAGATTAATGGTAATATTACTGATTTATAATTACATTTTTAATGTACTGTTTATGTAGTAAAATGGCGTCATATATTTTATATCGGTAAGATTTTATTAAATTTACATATTATTAAATTTAAAATAATTATTTTAAAAAAAATTGACATAGATTAATAATATATTTCTGTCTATCTGGTTATCCGCCTGTCTGTCTAACTTAAAATTATTTACTTTATATTACAATAAATATATTTTATAATGTAAAGTTTTCTCTATAAACTACCTGAGAAATAATGCAATAAGTTCGAATATTTTCTAAGTTTAATATAATTTCTCTATGTCTTGTTTTCATTAACAGCCTGCAACAGTACTGTTACGAACAGCTCTGGATTGATAGTTAGCCCTAACTACCCACAGAATTATCGTGCCAACGCGACTTGCTATTGGAGTATACCGTCAAAACTACAAACCATCATAACTCTTAGGTAATTACTAGGCTTGAATAGTTACAGTTTTAACGTTATATTATATAAAATTATATAAAAGATGGATTCCGTATATCAAGCCTCATCTGCCCGGGGGTTCGATCTTGGGACGTTTTGGTTTAGCAACCATGAGCTTAAACGACCCGACCACGCCGACTCATACATATGCGTATAGGCACGTTCTTGCAGTTTTTGTCTGTCATTACTATTTTCTAATCATAACATTTTGTATACAGAGATGCACCATGGACATCAAGCTTAATGGCCGAATTATATAAATTAGAAACTACTCTCTTATTTATTAAATAATGAGCAATAAAATAATACATTTATGTTTTCAAGCTTCTCTGACATCGAAATGGAGAGCGGGGTGTCTTGTCCCTACGATTCACTTAAAATCTACAACGGGACATCATCCAGTTTTCCACTGCTAGGTGCTTACTGTGGCAGCAGTTTACCCAGATCAATCAGCTCTACCAACAGTCTGTACCTGGTCTTCACGTCTGATGCGTCCATCGGTGGCCGTGGATTTAAGATACAGTACAACTACGGTAAGCATTGCGCCCGTGTTTATAAAATAGTTTACATATTGGCCTATAATCTAATGTACTATACTTCATATAAAAGTATTGAATATAAAAGAATTTATCTTAACTACAATATAATAAATTTCCCTAAAACGATAAACGCTTACATAAAGATCAATACTGAATTTTATTCTAATATGTCTATAGGTTTTTTTTCAAAACTTTAGCGATGTCACATTTAAATGTGTTTTTAATTTACTTTACAGGGCTTTAGACACAAGGCAAGCTGCTTTATAGTATGGTATAAAAGCCTGTTCAAAGACCCACTTTAAACATTATTTCTTTAAAATGCAAAATAATTATCCATATATAGGCTACTCCAAGGATTTCAAAATTATTAAAAAAATATATAATTTTTTTTCAAGTTGTGAAATAATTTGTATCTTACTTACCCATATTATTGTCTAAATATTAATCAAAGATAGTTGATTATTCCAGTACACATAGCCGTAAACATTAAACTCACATATTCTTCTCAGTCCCATCATTGATTAAGACATGAACCATTGTAATCATTAGCATGTAATGAATCATTATCTCAGAGATTTATTTCACACGTAGTATATTCTACTTGTGAATGTATATAGTTTATTATTTTCATTTTGTCGTCTTATATTTCTGATTACTAGTTTTTGGTAAATTATGTAACGTATATAACTCCATATAAAAGGAAACCAGACATATTTAACATGGCAAAGTATCGCTTAGTTGAACAAATATGAAAATTGTGTCATTGTTTTCACAATGCCATTGATGTATCTTTCATAAACCAGACATAAGAAATGTTTTGTAGGAATCTTTTAAGAATCTTAGTATTATTAACCATTTCATAGTAAGAACTTTTAGGACATCAGATGGAGGTTTATGTAATTGTATTAATAAAACTGTTTGAAATTATTAACAAATATTACAATTATATAGAATATTCGTCTACAGAAGGCGCTCGTATTTTTAAAGGAATTTAAAAAATAAAACACATTAAAATACTCAATGAAAGTTATCCTTTAATTTTCGATTCAATTCTTTAGATACTGTTATAAATGGAGATTTTTTCTTTAAAATCGTTTCATAGTTACACTGCATGAATAGTTATTACCCACGCTACTTAAAATAAAATAATTGCTATATAGAGCTTTAGTTTTTAGCTAAGACTTTTTAATTTATACAAGCTATTACTAAAATACATGTTTTATCATTTGCTTGCTAATTGTTTAATAAAAATATGCTTCACAATAATTACTGTTGAAATGTGTTAATTACTATAACAAATTTAGTTTAGTTATTGTTAGATTCCAACATGTTTTATTTGTCCTGATTGGTTTGTTCAACGGATGTTTCAGCTTCTGACCCCACACGTGAACCTGTTACCTCCACCCAACCCGAATCATTCCATTCGCCCCTATTCCCCCTTATAATACTGCTGAACATCACTCAACTCAGTAGCTCACTTTTGAACTTGTTCACACACACACATTTCTTGTTGATCATCAAAATAAACTGGGCGTCTATATATTAGATAAGATAAGACCGAACATGCATACTTAAGCCTAATAATTGCCAATCGGATTCTGGAGCACCTATCACGAATTCTTAAGTATTTTGACTTCATCATTCTTTTGTTTTATCATAAATGTACAGTCCTGACACTTGAAACATATTTTTAATACATTAACATTCTTAACATAGGCACACATTTCTACGTTAATTGGCAATAGAGACAGTTAAAATCTATACTTTATCAATACTGAAGGTGATAAGTGATAAGTGATACTTGTATTGTAAATAAGTTTCTTGCATTCAATGAAAGACTTAAATGATTATTATTCTGTTTGTTATATTTACTTGCAATAAAAAGTGACGTCGTGACATAGCGGTAGAGCGCCAGACTGCTAAAGTTTTTTGTTTGATTTCGGTTTCACGTTAGTGGAATGTCCCAGAGTCCACCATGCTCTGATGGTTACTTAAATCACTTTATGGAAAATAAAGACGGCCGAGGTCACCGGAACAGGTGAACTCTACTTCACTTGCCCCATTACCCGCCAGGTTATAAAAGGGAATTTAACATACATGATATAAAATAATTCTTCAATCCTTTAAGTGTATTGTCAACACGTAAAGTAGTGCCTTCTCGCGTCCTACTGCATATCAGCCAACAGGTCCCTATGTCTTGTATACTACTTTATTATGTATGCTTAGGAATAGTCACACTCATTCTATACATATTCTTTCAAGAAACGAAACAATACCAAATACTTTTGAATTGTTTACATTTAATACGGACGAGCTCTAAAACATAGAAAAAGTTGCCGTTAGTCTTGTTATTTACGCCATTACAAACTCTATTATTCAACCCGTATGTTTTCAAATAATCTACCAAACTATGTATATTTCAATGTTTTTCGTAAATGATTCAAGCTTAACGAATGCTTCAACAAAACACCTTTTACAAGCTTTTATTACAAGCTTGTATTTAGAGCCCAACGCCTGTGGGTTTGTGGCATATCTTGTAACTCAATTTTATCCCACTTCTAATGCAGTGATTTAGTTCAAACTTCCAAGATACGTTCCGCTTCGTTGACAATACAAGTCTATTTGTTTTTTAACTTTAGTTACTAGTTTAATTAGCCATGAGAAATTAGTTAAACAGTAAGGGGAAATTTTTAAAAATCATTCGATACATTAACATATTCAATAAAAGAAGAGAAGATACCTAGCTAGACGCTAGCACCCTACCAGTCTGGTGAGCTAAGGTTCACGCTAATTGTTGTTGGGTCCTGGTTGGTCGCCCATATATCGACCACGTAGACAACTGTCTTTTAGAGATCACAATCTAATGGTCAAGTTTTAAGGCAAATATTTTTTTGTCGTTCATTTAGAACGAATTACGAATAAGAGGAGAGAAAAAAAAAGAATATTAAAACAATTATAATAACAAGCGAATTTTTTTTAAATTTTGCAAAAGAGGCAAAATTTAATACAATATTTAAAAAATAAAAGTCGGATGCAGTTCGACACCGTTCATCCGAGTACCATGAAACTTTGGGTAGTTGATCAGAATACTCTCGAGAAGGTTTCTGCGAAAAAAAAATATTCTTATGGGCGGCGCACGGGAGGTGTGATTTTCGACAGTACACGGTTAGTGCCCAAAGTTCCACCTCGGCTATTTAAGCATTTGATATCCGTTAATATGGCGTCCTGCTTAACGGGTACGGGGTACTACTATATTCAGCGGTAAAACTGCAAAAGGCGCACCCGTCGGCGCCCCGTCGATTGCATGACACGAAACGCCCCGAGCTTCCCAGCGAGCACAATGGCACCTACGTTCGTTTAAAAAGAAAGGCTATACACTAAATACACGATGGGCATCAATAATCGTTGACTGTTTTTGAATTAGGCGAATTTATCTGGGGTTCCGGTATGGTGCAATTTTGCGCCATGAGCTATCCATTGAGCGCTATTGTGCCTACGTTCGTTTTGAAGCAGTGCGAAAGACAATTGATACTATGGGGAATTATAGTTGCTCACAAAAATGAATTATTCGCGTCTGGAAACACCACGGTAGGGTGAGATTTGCCCCGAGCTATCCTCGGACTTTATTCTAACTACGCGGCAACGCGCGGGGACAGGCACGTTAGTATTTCTATAAAATTGCGCATGAGATTTGTTACATTTTTTTTAGCGACCGAAGTTTTTATTGAAAAATATTTGTTTATTTTATTCAGTACATTTAAAAGCTTGTTATTATAAAAGATATTATATTTGTTTAATGTGTTAATTTATATGCATTTGGACAGAAACCGCGCTTCAGAGTAAAATACACTCACAATAAAGAAGGTTAAGAAAGTCTACCGCTCCCCCCCCCCCACCCGAACGAAGTTGAATTTATAGAGAAAATATATACTTGTTACAGTGTCCGCCCCCCCCCCTCCCCGAAAATTATAGTCCGTCCCCTTCCCCGCCCCCCGAAAATTTCAAGTGCCCCCCCCCCACCCCCTCCCGCGGGGAAAAATGTCTGGAAAAATAATTCTAATTTATAGAACGTGCAAGTTTATTTCGATCTACTTTAATCGTGTCTTTAGGACAATATCGATAATAGTATAACCCTATATATTATAACTAAGCATGCAATTAAAGCAATACATCCATGCACACTTTTAACATTGTGTTGTTTTTTTTTTACTTTGAGCAAACACATTTTGAAAAACTGTATTAGTGTTTTTATGTTTTCTGTTAAAAACTATTTTACTACTCAGTCTCTTTTGATTTAAAACACAATAATAGATACCATAAATGCCTAACGTAAACAATTTTTAAACATGCAAAGAATAGTCTCTTGCACGAGGTTCAAGCTATCCGTTTCGTTCTCAGTTACTGCCAGAGCTAAATAATCTCAACACACTCAGGGGACATAACCATAATATATATATAAGTACAGCAAGGGATGTAATAATCAGTAACAATAAATACGGTAACACAACTAATAACAATGATCCTTGCGAGTGTGTGGTTTTTATCTATTATTATAACGCTGTTGATTAAGAAGAAAGTTTTATACTTTGAAAAATACTATTATGCCAGATACGTTTTGATAAGAGTTTTGTTTTCTATCACACTTTGTATTGTATGGCCCCAGATGGCATATGAGTTACCGGTTTACCCTCTCTGTTAGCCTAGGTTATTATTGCATACTAAAGAAAAATTAAATCTGAACATTTATGTCATAGCAATTTTTTCAAAGTATAATGCTATTTCTTTATCATTTGCGTTTTAAAATAAAAACTATACAGTGACTGTGGGCTCAAAAGGACTGTAATCCTGAAAAATCACATAACATTTTTATACAGTTGTGTCCCTTTACTACAACTTCGTTAAAAACAACATTTGTGTTTATACATTTAAACTGTTAGTTTTATTGAGACGACCCAGCATTACTTCTTAAAACGGCTGTCGGCAGTACTACCACTAAGTACACTCGGGAAAATAAGATAAATAAAAAGTTAAGTTCGAATTTTCGAACTTAATTTTATTTTTACGAGGACGGATTAGTGCTCAGCAGTCGTGAGATTGAGATTGAGATTGAGATTGAGATTGAGATTGAGATTGAGATTGAGATTGAGATTGAGATTGAGATTGAGATTGAGATTGAGATTGAGATTGAGATTGAGATTGAGATTGAGATTGAGATTGAGATTGAGATTGAGATTGAGATTGAGATTGAGATTGAGATTGAGATTGAGATTGAGATTGAGATTGAGATTGAGATTGAGATTGAGATTGAGATTGAGATTGAGATTGAGATTGAGATTGAGATTGAGATTGAGATTGAGATTGAGATTGAGATTGAGATTGAGATTGAGATTGAGATTGAGATTGAGATTGAGATTGAGATTGAGATTGAGATTGAGATTGAGATTGAGATTGAGATTGAGATTGAGATTGAGATTGAGATTGAGATTGAGATTGAGATTGAGATTGAGATTGAGATTGATATTGAGATTGAGATTGAGATTGAGATTGAGATTGAGATTGAGATTGAGATTGAGACTGAGACTGAGACTGAGACTGAGACTGAGATTGAGACTGAGACTGAGACTGAGATGGAGATGGAGATGGAGATGGAGATGGAGATGGAGATGGAGATGGAGATTGGAGATGGAGATGGAGATGGAGATGGAGATGGAGATGGAGACGGAGACGGAGATGGAGATGGAGATGGAGATGGAGATGGAGATGGAGATGGAGATGGAGATGGAGATGGAGATGGAGATGGAGATGGAGATGGAGATGGAGATGGAGATGGAGATGGAGATGGAGATGGAGATGGAGATGGAGATGGAGATGGAGATGGAGATGGAGATGGAGACGGAGACGGAGATGGAGATGGAATATTTATAGAATCTAGAAATAGAGAAAAGTACCCCGTTTATATTTGGTAGGTCCCAAAAATAGTTCAAATATTTTTTTAAAAAGTTGTATATTATCATATATTTGAAGAGAATCGTTTATTTTCTCCTTTTAAAGCTTTATTACATAAAGCTTGTTATTAAGACGATTTTTATGCGTTTTCTTTACATATCGCTTGGTTTCCCAGAAGTGACCTTAAATAAATAACACCAGCTTAGATGTCATCTCTTTACAGATCCATACAAGATGTAACGACACGCTATACAGAGTC